ATCAATATTTAATGTTCACAGTCAATATCATATTGATAGTTGTAACCTTTAGATTTTAATCATTTAAACAATCAATAAGCTCAATTATATGGTCGCGTCAACATTAAATTGTGATTATGACACATTGAAAAAGATAATTGTTGTAAAAAGTAATCATAATGATGATTTAAGATTAATTTTTTGAGATACTTGCGTTCTTATCAATTATATTTGTCCCAATAAAGTCACATTTACGATAACGATTTTCACACAAATTGCTTTGACATACATGTAGAACTCACTTAGAAATCAACTCAAATCGTTTAACAACAATTCAATTTGACTAATTCAGGGTTCGATCTTGAATCTCACGATAAAATGGATATCATACACGTAATAGGTAATTGAATAATAATCAATAACAAATTCAAGTCCCTCGATTGACCGCAAGTCACAAGTCGATAGCACTCGGAACTTGTGGAGAGAAAATTGAATAAGTAACAATTCCATTAACAACAATCAGTAAATCACTTCAAGAACGATGAGTTCTTCTTAATTACCAATAGATCACCTGTAGTAACTATTTGATCGATACGATTAACGATCAATTATATCAAAAGATTGACAATGGAATTAGATTATCGATTGTGAAGCTCTTAATTGAAAACGAAACAAGACCAAATAGTGATGTTATTATAATACTTTAGGAAAGAGTTGATTAGGATAATTTTGTTACTAATTATATCCTATGAATATGAAATTATCATGAATTATGATCAGTGATGAGAATTTTAATTGTTGATTGCATGTGGATGAAATAGAAACAATTGGTTAATCATGTGAATGCAATTAACTTGATGAGAATCATTAAAATCATAATGATTATCAAAATGATATAAATTACTAATTAGAGTTGTATTAATACTTTCATTCTCTATATTAACATTGATTTTAATTGAGTAAGAAAAAGTTAATTAGCACAAGAACCAGCCCATAGGAAGATGTTGAATCAAATTAAACTAATTCAGTATTAATGAATGATGAACATTTTCAATTGATTAGTTGATGAACAATTAAAGAAACATTTCATTAAATTTTCTCTTTCAATTCTCCCTCAACATCTCAGCAATTAAATTGATTGAGTGAAAATTATTCAAATTGTAAATTGGAAAATATCAACTTCAATCTACCTAAATCAATGTGACATTCATGAAATCCTCATGAATAACTGAGTTTCCCCTGAATCTTTCGTAAGCTTTTGCTAGTAAGGTGAAATCGACGATACTTGAGCTCTGTATTAGATTACTGATTGACAGTGATAATGATCACTCGTTTGTCAATTAGCTAATTACAATATTTCAATGAGATTTAATTTGATAAGTTAATTAACTAATTAGTATTGCCTTTAAATTTATATTTTGCATTTTGAGTCACGAGTTTCTTGTTTTACTTTTAATATCATTATCATGTAAGTGTGAAGATGAGTGAAAAACTTTGTAATTTATAACAATTAATAGAAAATGAGAAATAATAACAACTCACCTCATCTCAATATGACAATGAGAATGTCAATTGTCAGATAGCATGTCATTAGCATAGATTAGCTACTTGATTATCTTTAAAGTAATCACAGACAATCATCATTATCGTTATAATTTCAATACTTTTTCACAATTTGACAGCAATTAAACTCTTAATTTTTTGATTATCATTTTGTTTCTCGTTCGCATCTCTTATCAGCGTAAATTGAAGGCAACTTGAGATCAACTTTCAGATAGAAAGAGTAAATATTACAAATGAATGAAATTCGGGGAAAGAATTGATTTCAACATGTAAATATCTCACTTTTTGTTCTTCTTTCTGTTCACAAACTCATTTCATCTCAATCATCTTTACACTTATTCTTTTTCTCCTCATCATCTCTTGTTTTAATTTCTCTTATTGTTAACCTTCCATGATAATCACGCAAATCATTGGAGAGAATCGTAATTAGTTTTCTTAAGAAGTTGGTTCCATTCAAAGATCCTCTTCTTCTTCAATTAATATTTTCTTCTCTCTCTCTCTCTCCTCTCCTCCGAACTCGTTCATTCTTCTTCTCCATGGATCTCTGAGCATGGGTATTCACCTTGTGGAAGGTAAAACATGATGATAATCATGATCATCCTCATATTCATCATAACCGAATACACTTTATGTGGTTGCGCCTGCTTGATTCATCTTCTTTATTTATCATTGCAATTTTCATCTTTATTGCTTGTTGACTCTTTTTCCTTTCCATTGTTATTGTTTACGAATTGATTAAATGACATTCAAATTGCATTTGATTAGTCTTCTAATTTAGACAATTGCAATTGATATTTCTTGGAATATGAGAAGCAACAGCTTCCTGGCTGAAGGATCTTTCATGCAAATGATAATTACATTCACTTAGTTAGTGTTCTTGTTAGTCTAATCATCGTTTCTTACAATTAATTTCAAAAGTATTGTGGTTAAAGGTCACAATCGCTTGTATCAAGTGTGAAATCATTTGAGTTTCAATAACAAGGTAGAAAAGTGAATAAACTTAATCGGGTTATTGTTTTTTTCCAATTTGATTGATTATTAATAGAAATTCATCTTCTGAATATCAAACATGAGAGAAATTGGTAATGATTATCAATTGAATTCGGTTTCACAGTAGATTGAGCACAACAAAAAACGGCAACAATTAAACAAATTGTTAACAATCAACATTGAGAGTTATTCCATTAAATTATTAATATGATGAAAAATAAACAAAGAAAAACTCAAGTTTACCTAATAACCAATAGAAATGAATATCAACTGAATATCATCTGAATGAATATGAATTAATAATATTAACTTTACTTTTCTAACTTTTCTGATACAAATAGATAATAATAATAATTATCATTATTATCATCATTACATTTTCATTGTAATAATTATCATTTGTAGGTTGTAATTGTCTTTGTTGATTACAAACTGTTTCTACCCATTATAATTACATAGTTGTTGATTACTTTTACTTTGAAAAAGTTTCATCTTGTCAGTTAACCCAAGTTTCAATGATTGATTGATGTAATTCAATTTCAATCCTCTTCTTTGTTTCTTGCATAGTTAACAGATTTTATCAACAATTTAATATTATTATTTAATAATAATCATCATCAATGCATTCAGACAAAACTTGAATATCCAATCCAGGTAACATTCAGGTAACTATAATGATAAGTTTTTCTTTTGCTTCTCTCTATGTATCCACAGAGTGAAGTTCAACAATTAGATTATTAATTAATAATAGTAATCAAATATTATAATGTATTTAATCACAAGAAACAAGTTGTAAGTTTAATTTTCATTGTAATAATTATCAACGGTATTTTGTTGCAATTGAAACGTGATTAGGCTGTTGATTAGTTTAATCAACACAATTATTTCAATGTATCAATAATATCATCTAAATTATATAAAGATTAATTGCAATTTGATTGTATAACTAGTTCGTCTATTGAATAATGAACAATCTTGGTTAACTTTTAATTGTGAATAAATGAATGAGAAAAAATATATTCTATTAGTTTTTCTAATTTCAATGGTTGTATATCGTTATTCTGATATCACGGAGGTTCTGATGAAGAATATAAATAAATAATCATGAAAATGATACATGTAAATCATTAGGGTGATAAAATAGCGAACAATTAATATCATCAATTCTCTGATTAATATTTTACTCTTTTGAGAAAGAGAAACGATTGGATCGGCTCAATAAAAAGAGAGCCGATCAGATTATTCATTAATCCATCAAGTCTAATGAATAATTGATTCGAAAATCAAAGTTGAAACTTTGCTAATTAAGTTTTTCTCCAAATTTGATAATGATTAAAACCACGAAAAGATACAAAGATGTTTATGTCGAAAGTGAATTGCCAAAAGCATCGAGATTAAATAATAACAGTTTTTAGAATCCACTCATCTGTTAAATGCTAAGGATTAGGGAAAAGGTAAAAGGTAAATTTGAATGTTAATCATTAATCAATTTAATGTTCGAGTAAAGATGTTTTTTTACCTTCGTTGATTACCTTTGGAAGGAACAACAATAACATGATTATAATAATTAGAAAATTTTGTTTCCAATGTGGATAAGATTAAAGAGATTACAAGGTAATTAACAACAATTAAGGCGGAGATAATAAAACATTATGATTAAGATTTGTGTAGATTTGTAGTATCCATCATTTTGATTTGATTTGTTTTCCCTAACAAAATGATTTACTTATAAATCACAAAAAAAATGTGTTAAAAATGTCAATTGATGTTAGTCAATGAAAGTAATTAAGATAATGAAATAATTGATTAGTATGTCAACTTGGCTACAAAATAGATGATCAGATAATGAAAATGCCTTTAGGGTAAAAGATGATGATTAACAATAAGCTAATTTGTAACAAGGTCAGTAAAGGTCAATAAGTGTAGTTTTCAATGGACACAAAAAACATAAATTGAGAAAACGATTTACAATGTTAATCACAATTAGTTAATATTTTGTAATTTAGTTTAATGAGCAGATTGGATTTTGGATCAACGGTTGACTAGTAAATTGATTGGATTGATTGGTAATCAGTGAAAAGACCAATCATCTTAATTGTTACCACAAACTTTATTAATTGTTATCTTAAGTGATAATAACTGTTTAATTTAAGTGTCAAACAGTCAACTAGTTAACAATCACTGTAATTATTATTATCATTAAGAGTACGTGAAGATCATTGTTATTATCAAATTAATGATTAGATAAGTTTGATTTAGTATAAATAGAAACCAGACAATTAGCTAAATCATCAATGATGTTAATGATCATTTTGATTCTAATGATGATAGTTGCCTTTCAAGCTCTTGGGCGAAATTAATGTTTTCTTAATGTAAATCATATCAATTAATTAAACTAACACGTACCAATCAATATAATTATCGCTTTTAATTGAAATGCTAATTGATTTTCAAATGAACAATTTCAGAGATTGGACATAAGAGGACGGATTAAAGTGCTTCATGGACAAAATCATAAAACGGATAATCCACCTTTAGCTCTGTTCGCTGTTTGTACTCCCTTTGGTCCACCCTCGCTATTGGAAATGCCACAAAAAGATTCAATGTTTAAGTCGAAACATAAACTTGACCTTTCGCTCGTGTCAATGGACCAAAGAGGTAAACAGTTACTGGGTTATTCTGATACCGAAATGTCCAACAAGGGTGTTTATGATCTAGTCCATTTTGATGATCTCGCTTATGTTGCGAGTGCTCATCAAGAATGTAAGTATTATAACCTTTGACCATTGGACTGAAATGATTTATCGACTAACGATTAACGCTTATTCCCCACCAATAGTACTTAAAACAGGAGCATCAGGGTTAATCGCTTATCGTTTGATCAGCAAAGAAAATAAGTGGCAATGGCTTCAAACGAGCGCACGACTTGTATATAAAAATAGTAAACCCGATTTTATTCTTTGTACTCATAGACCATTAATGTGAGTTTCTTTTTGGTTGTAATTAAGATGCAATTAATTAATGAGTTGATTGTTTCATTTTCCAGGGAAGAGGAAGGTCGAGATCTTTTAGGAAAACGGACAATGGATTTTAAAGTAACTTATTTAGACGGAGGCCTTGGGGCGATTAACGATCGTTCAGGTTTATTGTCTGATAGCGATTTTGTGCTTCGTTGTCAACGGAATCGTAGATATAAATCTCAGATTCGTGATTTAATAACAAATTGTCGCTCGACACCAACAGGAACCGGAACAACACATATTAGCAATTCTAAACGTAAATCTCTTACTGGAAATGATGAAAGTACCACAGTCTATACCCCGCCCTTTACTGAGTTATGTCCACCGAATGCAATGTCCGCTGCTGCAGCACAGGCTGCAAATGCAGCGGCAGCGGCTGCTGCTCATGTAGCTCATGTAGCTGTTACAGCAAATGCAGTAGCATCAACCTATTCACACCATCATCCTCATCCTCATCACCATCACTCTCATCATCACCACCCTGGTTCAGGTTCTGTCCCATCGTCAGTTTATCCTTACTCAACTCATGCTCATACAACAGATAATATGAACTTGTCAGCAGCAGCCTACGGGATGCCTCAGAATTTGTTCACAGCGGCAGCGATTGACCACAACTCAAGGTCATTTTTAACAACTGATCCTTTGTTTCATTACTCCCGCCACGCATTAACTACCTACTATCCCGATTATCATTCAGTGGCACAATATCCAACCAATGGTTTCCTTGATCATCGTTCATCATCAACAGGCCGATCTGCGTCTTTCGATTCATCAGCATCAACAACACCAACGATGGGAGCAGATAAACTGTATGGATGTCAGCTCACACCACCGAGTGAGATTAAATATAATGGAAGTGAGTCCTCATCTAGTAATAATAATAGATCTACGATTGGAGTTAAGTCTTGTTGTGACAATTATAATAATTCTGGTTCATCTTCATCGTCTAGTTTAATGGGTCATCATCCTCATCACCATCACCATCATCATCCTGGTGCTTCAGCGCCCGTGGCAGTTTCTGGAGCATCAATTCAACCTTTACTTTCTGCAGCTTCACCAAATGAGAATAAATTATCTGAATTAACTAATTGTCATCGTCATTCCTCATCAACTTCAGCCTTTAGTTTTGGCTTGTCCGGCTCATCATCTTCATCGGCAGTTAATGGAGATTGTATATCAGTTACAAAGCACAAGAATAATAGTCTTCCTCATAACAACAACAACTCACCTCCATCTTTATCCATGGAAACAGGATCAGCTCCATCAACACCGTCCATGTCTGGTTCAGCTTTTAGTTCAACATCAACCAACAATCAAACAAACATGAGCAGCGATCAATCCAGATCAAGTGTCTTGATGTGGAATCGTAATACCTGTGGTACAACAACAACAACATCTTCATCTCCATCATCATCATCATCGCCCACGATTAACATCAACAATAATAATGGTAATAAATATTCATCTTCCTCTTCATCTTCCTCATCTTCACTTAGTGAAACACTTACACTTAACAAATCATCGCCAGTTATAAGTTGTAAATGGAATGGATCGATTTCCAATGTAAGGCCACTTTCTCCGCATCCATCGATGACTCTTAGTCCCAATTCTGGTAAAGTGCCGATGTCAATGGCCACTTATCAACACTCAGCATCACTTTATGCATCAACAGATATTAATCCAATTGAAGTAAGTACATCAGTTAATCAATTAAATTTTTTTTTGGTCAAATCAATAATCTATTAATTGCTACAATTGATTCCAATTCACTAATGATCATCAGTATGAGGATAATTAAAATTGCATGAATATGATTTCCTCCTAATTATCTTTAAGATAAAACATTATCCATATTCCGTTGAAGCTCATTCGATAATCAATCGATTTTCAATCAAATGATCAACAAAAATAGTCTAATCTTAGCATAAGAGGGACGATCTTTGCAATTGTAATGAAAATTGATCAGCTGGTATCATTGATTGTCGCAGGTCTTGTTTTAATTGCAATAACCTCTTGTTACGGTAAATTAAATACTTCTCCTGGTTTATTTACCTTTTTGTTTCCTGTTTGGTGATGAGGATGAGCAAGAATCTTGTCACTGGTTAGAAATGAATTGATCAACCTTATTTACTCTCTCAGGTCCATTTATCGAGGTAAATGATGCATCATCTCTCCATGAGCAACTCCCACAACATCATTTCTAATAATTTTATCATCCGATTACCTTTAAGTCTCATTAAAATCTCGTTAAAGGCTCTTTATTATTATTTTACAATTCAATGTATTAATACCAATTCTTCCCATGGTTTTCTCTCTATACTTTTTCTCACCGAGTCCCAATCCTGTCATTATCCTGAGATCATCCCTACCTCCCTCTATCATCATCATCATCTTCTTCCTTCTCTTCCTCTACCTTAATTATCTTCTCTCATCAACTCATCTCTTCATCTCCAAATACATATTATTAAGTCTCGACGATAGAATTGAGCTTTGATCTTGTCAACATCTTCATTTGTGTTATCATTATAAAGACGAAAAGACAACAAAACAACTTAAGCTATAATTTGACAGAACATTAATTCATTGATTAATTTTGATTCTTTTCTCTCGTCAATAGGGTTGGAGTGTGGAGAACATCGGACACTGGCGATCTCATTTGCGTAAGTTGTTTAATTACAAGTAATTAGTTATCCCAACAATCAACTAACATCAATCAAACTACAATTTCACAAAAGATTGTTGATAAAAGCAGCAACAAAAAGATCGAGATTACCTTGAATTTTACGCAGAAAAACAAAAGATGAGTTACAAAGTTGATGGAAGCATGAAAATGAATATAATCAGAATAACTATTAGGCCCTTCCCAGCCCTTAGGGTACATATTGGTTGTTACATTACCAACAATCATCCATCGACTTTATCATCATTTTATTAATCATCTTTTCCCTCGTTTGTGTACTTGGGTTTTGTTTCTCATCTCTTCTCGTTGATGGGTTATAATTTGCAACCAAATTAGTTTTGGAAAACAAAAGATGATCTTGATGATGATGAGAATGGTGATGAAGAGGCAGAAAGAAAGATAAAAGACCAATCAATCTTATTGAATTGATCCACCTAAGCTCATCTCCGAAATCCAGGTTATGTAATTTATGAGAAAAACTCGTCCCCTGTTTATCTCCCGAGAGAGAAAAGTAAAAAGAGAAATCATAACTTCCCTGACCTTTCATCTACCTCCTCTTCCTCCTCCTCTTGATCATCATCATCATCTCTCTCTCTCTCTCTCCTCTTTTCAGCTTGTATCACTTTTTTCTTATTTTCATCTCTTTTTTGTACCTTGAGCATCATTACAACGCCCACAACAAAAACAAGAACAATAAAATGAATCTTCTATCTCGAAACTCTTACATCTCCTTCCTCATCCTCCTCCTCCTACTCTCCCATCAACAACATAATCTCTCAAACGGAGTTTGCATAATCAACTGCAATGTCCGAACATTAAATTATCATCACATTAGATTTGTTATTGGCAATGATGATGATGAATTTATACCTTCATTGGTTTTCTCATCAAATTATCTTGTGATGAAGCATCACAAATGATGGACTCGTTTTTTCTGTGAAAATTGAAGTTTTTTAATTATTAATGAAACTAATTCATGTTGATACAATTTCTCTCGTTAATAGAGGAAGAGTGAAAGAAGTCAATCAATTTGATTGTTACCAATAAACTTATGGGCTCATCGTGACTTAACCTTTCAAAAACAATATCGATGGCAATTGCTTGTGCCCTTAGGGCTTGAGGCTCGAGGATATTTTCAGACGCAAAGTCAAATGAGTGTTACCTTGATTGTTTTTGTTGCTGCTTTTCAAAATCATGCATTTCTCAACCCACTCTCAATGAATTTATTCATTGTCCCAAAAAACACACACTTACATCCACAGTATAATTCCCACAAGAAAAGCCCATCAACTCATCTGTTGGCCGCAAATTAAATTGCTAACCACTAATTATTTCCCAATTAACAGCTACCCTCGGATAGATTCAATCATCCATTTGAACCAGTCAAAGAAAAAGCAATAAGAGGAATAGCATCAGCATAAGAAATTGCATTGGAAGAGGCATCACCATCATCATCATCGTCATCATTAGTGACTTCAACTCCAAAGATCATGTTAACCACCTTAAAAACCATCAGTCCAGCCTCCAACTACCAGCCCGTTGACCACCAGACTGATGACAACATTGAGCTCATGGAACTTTGTTGATGAATCAATTTCCAATCATCAATTGGAAAAAGCTGATGATGAAAGATTCATGCAAATGAGAACGCTGATTATTCATCTGCTCATAAGCATAAAAGAGTAAGTGAAACTTATGGAAAAATGAAACCAAAATGGTACAAGAAAAAAACGACGAAAATGAAAAAGATGAAAATCGAATACAAAATAACTAAGCAATAAATCGAGGAAACGGAAACAAAACATTTGGACAAAGATGACAACGCGCTTTGTGCGTGTTTGACTCTTCTCTCATTATCTCTTCGGCTCCTCTCCCTCTTCTCCATCTTCTTCCCTCATCCATCTGTACATAGGAAACAAGCACGCGTCTCTTTCCTTCCCCTTCAACTAGAATGCGTGTTACAAAACTCCAGTCAATTCTTTCTCTTCTTTCTCTCTCATTCTCTTCATCATCATTATTTTTATCATCATCACTTTTTCTTTCAGTTCCTGGAAACCGTTTAATCTTAAATGTATAATACAAAATAAAAGCATCAATAGGAAACAAACAAACATTTTACCTTCGATTTACCTGAAAAATTTTCTCTTCTTGATCTGTTTCTCCCCTCGACTCTCCCTTTCCCCTTTTCCCCTTCACTTCCTTTTTATTAGAAAATCTCCCTCCCACTCTCTTCCTCCCTGTTTCTTGCATTCTGTCAATAATTAATGTTATTAATTTATTTCAATGTGTATTCATCTCGACACACAACAAATCATGTATATGTATATAGGTGCGATGTTTTTTGTGATATAACAAAACCAATAATGATAATAACATAATAATGAAGCGAATAACAAAAAACTGAAATAAACAAAAACAAAATAATAGCAAACAAACAATAATTTGTGTCTCTTTCTGTTGATATTCTGGCCCTTTGCTTATTGTCATACGAATTTGACAATTTCCACTCAATCAAACATCCGAAATGCTCTTGCAATGGGTAAGGTTAATTTCCCCTGGAGAGAATCAATAAAACTTATATTTTTGTCATTCTCTCGAAAATTGAATGCACACAATTATCAATACAATTTGAGAGAAAGAATAAAATTTTTTTCTTTTTAGTATCAACATGATAATTATCAATACTATCATCGGAATGAGAGTCAGTGAAAAGGAAAGGGTTAAATGTAAATGACAGAAAAAGCAGTAAATTTTACTTGAGCGACTCGACTAACAATCATGAGCGTTAATCTCATTTTAATCAGGGTAATAAAAGTACGTTAATTGCTCTCATGTTAAAATGTAAATCTGTTTATTCATCGTTGAGCTGATTAGTATTAATATTTTTTTTAATTATCATCTCTATGGTTTTCAATCATCTTCATCTGGTACAATTAAACCTGGAATCATTTTAAGCAAACGGGTTTTGTCCAATGGACTTGGAGTTGTAGATGTCATTAATGGTGGTGATTTAAATGATTCTGATAATTCATCTGAATAATAAACTTCAGGGTAACGGAGAGGATTCAAGGCCAAAGCTTCATCGGGTTTACTTTCACTCCATTTGAATGTAGGATATGATGTTGTGCTTGTCGGGGACGATGAGCTCACGATTGCACTGGTCGTTTCTGGCCTTTGATTCTGTTGAAGATTCGGAGTTGGAATGACCGGTAAAGAGGCATAGTGAGTAACGGAGGAGGTGGAGGTTGAGCTGAAGATTCAGCGGGTTGGAAATGCCTTGGAATACCAAGATCTTCAAACGAGAACATGGGAAGATCATCGGGCATATTCACAGGTAAATTTGGTACATATGATGGAACTGAAGATGGGACACTGATTGAAGACGGTCCTGGTTGAGTTGCATATGAATCGGGTAATTTGAATTTAGGAACTTCGAAAGTTTGATTATTTCCTGCAGACATTTTAGACATCATTTTCTGTGCGGTGTCGATCTCCATTTTTGTTACACTTTCCATTGAAGTTGTACACTTGACGACATTCAGTTTAACCTGAATCATACTTGCTTTGTAATTGTCGGTTAGAGCTGAAAGTATGTCGTTCAGTTCAGTGTTCGAGCAGCCTCGAGGATAACAGAGAGCATAAGTCAAATCGAAAACTCTAAAGGAAAGTAAAGAAGAAAATGATTCTAAATCCAACGCCATCTATTGACCTTCGAATTTAAAAAGGGCCATTTATTTACCTTGGCTTGTTCCTCATCGTCATGTTGGTCAAATGATCTACTTGACAAAATTGTCCATTGTCACTGAGTAGACATTGTTCGGGACGAACAAGTTTCACGATCTTGTCGTGATTTCCTGATTTGTACTCTTCCATTATCGCTAAAGTATTGAAACTCATGTTTAGTTCGGGATCGATAAAGTTGTAAGATACTCACTTGAAAATCTTTCAGGGGTCAATTGATTCTCACTCATGAATTGATGCCAAGATGCGTTACATTTGGAACTAGCGACTGAACCAATATCGGTCGTTTCGAGTAATCGTTTCAAATTTTTCTGACTGCTTTTGATCATTAGTTTCATGAAGGCTTCCATTTCCTTGCTCTCCTCCTTTGCTTTCTCGTCTCCATCGGACCCAGAATCGTCTGAACATTTAACTGAATTTAGAAAACAACAATTTAAACAAAAAACAATAAACAAAAATTTAGACGAAAACATTTCAAGCAATTAAAAAGCAACAATTAACTTGACTTTAAAAAACCACTTAGAGGATCAACTAAATTAAAAGGTTCACTTGTTAACCAGCAAATAAACTGAATGCTGTTGATTTAATTCAAATTACAATTGTGATTCATTAATTAAACGTCATTCATCAAGACCAATTATATTTGATTCAATTTGTTTCCTGGTTGATGATCAATGAAATTGAGACAAATGAATCAATGTGATTGAAATGAAAAAAAGTCTCACCAAAACTCATCCCACCAGAGTTGCTTTCTCTTAACTTTTAATCATTAACAATCAACTAATCATTGGATTTAATCAACAGATTAACTTTTAATTGTTATTGCTTTCCTATGATTGAAAAGCAGATGCAAAAGATGATAAAATGATGCTAGAAACTAAAATGCTAAGATTAATTGTGTTTTTATTGTTATCAAATTTTTCACGGTTCGTCCTTCTAATGGTTTACAATTAAAAAATCACCTTCAGTCTTGATCGTGAATAATTATTAATGAATCACGATCATTATCTCAGATTATCAATGTAATAACCCAAAGTTAATGAGACTAATCATCTAGTAAATTGTTCAATAATTAAGAGATCATGATAATATTAATGTTAATAAATGTCTCAATAAATTGTAAACTTTTTTTTTCATCTATTCATGATCACAATTAATATCTAATTGCTAAGTTAAAGTTAATCTGATTGCTAATCAATTCTGTATGAATTTAATTGACTCAGTAATCAACAGAGATGAGAGATGTTGATCTTCAACAACAATCAACTTATCGAGAAAGTTAATCAATTGACTTACTAGAAGATTTAAATTAAAGTTTAATAACCATTAATAAGTGAAAGATAATTATATTATTAATAGTATTTGTTTAAATATCATCAGTCAACCATCAATGATTTCATCGTAGTTAATTATTATCATTGAAAAAGGTAAATGAGGTTAATGTCCGTTAATTTAAATCATCATCTTAATCATGTTATTAATGTTTAAGGACAGTTTAAAACCGCAATTAACTCTTCATCAAACAATTACAGAGGGACAATAGTCTCTAAGTGTATAATTAATTGTTGTCACCATCAATTCATTCATAATAAAATTAACCAGAGTCACAGTGATTGTTACGATAAACCATCAACCCAATATCTTTTCATCAGTCAACTTTTACAGTTTCTGTTGATTGTAATTAGTTAATGAATTGAAAGTTGGTAGTTAGCGACCAAGACGCACCTTCTTAATTAAAAATTATCTTCTTTGTGTTGATCATCATTTCCTTTTCTTATTCATTCGTCATCATCATAATCATCATCTTTCAACACTGTTTACCTTCAAATGTTAATTTAATTAACTATTGAATAAGAATAAGATGATTAATTTAAGGTGTGTGGGAATAACAATTTACTTGATTACATCCTTTTATATTATGTTTGTGGTCCAATGTGATGATTATGGTAACAATTAACAGAACAAACAAACATTAGATTCATGAAATTCATTGTCGATTTTCATTAAAGTCTCTCATTAATTTGGGTAATTACTCAACGATTATCAATGAAAATGGACACAAAATTAGTCGTAATGGTTTCATTAAATGTTTGCATGTTACGATTTTCTGTTTCGACAATTAAATGTTTTCTATGAGAAAAAAGATCCATTTTTTATGAATGCAAAGTATAATTACAACTATTATCAAGGAGTGTAGAGTAATTAATGCTCTCCATTCAAAACGAGTTAATTGTTAACATAAATATTGAACTTGCTTTTTGTTGTTCAATCAAAATAGTTGATTAATAATTTAATTTATTCAGCATTTGCTTTGCCTCAGTTCCAGTCTGTAGATGGCACAGCCACTTGGACTCGAGAACCACCAGCAAGAGCCATCTAGTGATCGGCCAAAAAGTCGCTCATTTTCGTGGTTTGGAATTCAAATTGACTTCGGGATTCAAGGGACATGCCACATATTCTCAAGGGGACAGGTTCGCCTCGATCTTGGACTTCGAGGTTATTAGTCAGTTCTTGCGTTATAAAGGACTTTCTGTTTCCTTTCTTTCTCCATCTTCCATTTGAGTTAGGAACGGAATACACATTGAACAGTCTGCACACTAGCGAACATAATTCCACTTACTCTCTTCAATAAAATTCGTAGTACCAAAAATTTTGATCCAAAATTTTAGAAATTTTAACACGACAAGTGGTGACATCTATTGATTTACCAATCGCTTTGTTCAAATTCTCGGCTCAGTCCTGAGCCACCAGCGCTCGATAGAAGAGCGGCTGAGATGAGGTTCTGTTCCAACAGATGCCAACAGATGTCATTCCAATGACTTTTGGAAAAACTCAAGTTTTCGATTCGCACCACTAGATGGCTCTAACTGTCATTCGAGTTTGAGTTGAATAGAATCTTTTTAGTAGATTTAATTTGAATCGTTCACCTGATCAATCATCATTCTAAATTGTCTTTATTCTATTACACATATTTGAAGTCTCTTCTTCTCTTGGTTTTTTAGAAATTCGTATTTGGTGTGTTCTCTTCAAGTGAATCTTGTTCTTTTCTCTATCCAAATTACATCATCATCATCGTTTTTTTTTTTCGGTTTTTCTCTTTTTCTCTTTTTCTCTTTCTCTCTCTCTCTCTCTCTCTCTCTCTCTCTCTCTCTCTCTCTTCTTTGTTCTAAAAAGTGTGAGCCATTTTTTTCTTAAGTGAAAATGAACTCTGCTAAAGTAGAAAAGTTGGAAGACTTGAAAGCTGTCCTAAAATCAATCATCATACCTTACAAGGATGGTGCTGGAATTCATCAAATCCAAAGGGATTATCATGAACTTGAAGGTCGTTCTTTGCCATACAATGAGTTCGGTTATAGCAGCCCAAGGGAATTTTTGGCTTCCATGTCTGATATTCTTATGTCGGGATCAAATAGACTCGGTGAAACTGTTTACATGGCCAAATTCGGGAAAGAGACACTTCATATTCAATCGATGGTTATGGGACAGAAAACTGTGACCAAGAAGAGGAGAAAAAGGCCCATTCATTCAGGTTATTCTGCCTATTCTAATCTTACTGCTGGAAGATACAACAACTTTAGACCAACTGCTACATGGGGCTCAGGTTGGGGTGTTAGTAAGCCCATCAATAGGTCACATTATGGAGGACCTTCAGTTTCCAGAAATCGTTCAATTGTTCCAGCCGGTTTTGGTGATCCCAGACCGTCATCAAGTTTTGTTTATAATAATTCTTCAAATTATAAACCACCTACACAACCTGTTACCAACAAATTACCAACCCAATATAATCCTTCAACTAAGTCAAAATTGCCATTACAGACAATTAATGTGAATAATCAACAGAAAGTTGGACTAACAAGTGACCGACCTCTACCAGGACCTAGTAACAAATCCAGAGCATCTCCCGCTTTCCTATCAGCTAATGATATAAAAAACATTAAAGATTTATTGAGAAATCATGGGACTAACGGTATCAGCCATGGATTATTTCAGATGCTCTACCAGAAAAAACATGGAATACCTTTGGACGTTAAATCTCGAGGCTTTGTTGACCTTTGTCAAGCTTTTCAAAGCATATCACATATTTGCAAGAATGAATTACACCCTTCTAATAAGTATTATCTGGTAAAATTGGTAGATGAACCTGTCGTCGTACCAAAGGTGGAACAACATATCAATGGAACATCTAAATCACCAAAAGGTTCACCGAAACGATCTCCAAGAAATTCACCAAAGAAAACGCCTGTGGGGGCTTCTCAAAGTAATGGCCGATTAGGTAAGATGGATATTTGTTTATTTGTTTGCTTTGCTTTATATGTTTTACGTCATATTTCATGTTCTGTTAAATAATTTGTAGCATTTTCGAAAACCAAATCTCTCTATTGGTAGATAATCAATCCAATTGTGTTTGTCGAGATTCTCTCTCTTTCTCTCGAGATGTTTTCATTTTTTTTCTGTGTTAAAAAAGCTTTTTGAGTTGTGTTTGAACAGTTTCATTCTTCAATTTAGTTTATTGCATCGCAACTAGATTTTTATGTGTAGGAAAATTTTAATCTATGTTTATCTTTGTTCTGATATTAGGCTAATGTACATTATCAAGTAAATAAATTGCTAGATGATTAAGCGCTTTTGCGCTTGCCTTTCCACTCAATTAGTTACCATAGTTTATCATTTGTAACTCGATTGGTTTAGTCACAGCACTTGTGTGAAATGTTTGCTACATTTTATCAAAAACTCTAAAATTTGTCAACTTAATGTTAAAATGTCGAATGAGTGTTTATTTAACTGTCAATGGTATTTGTACAATTTAAGCTTTTTTTCTCTTCTTCTTTGTTTGTAACCAATTCATTTTATAGTTTATCAATTAATTAAAAACGTCCTCAATTGTTATCCTTGAAATTAAGCTTTTCTCACCCCAATTGGGTTCAGGTCAACTTAGGTTTAATTTGTTCTTGCATTATCTTTCAGATCCTGTCGCGAATGAGAGTAAACCCCACAGAAAAGTAGTTAGCTCGAGTGATAATCCCTTTGAAATGCGAATTGAAGTACAAAATGGTGTTGATGATAGTGAAGCGCTTGAAAATTTTCCCAACACCGCAATTTCATATTTTAAGAGTATTTTAGAGAAATACCCTTACGGTATTTCTGCTGCAAATTTCTTAGCAGAATATGAAATACTTTGTGGAGCACCTTTGGAGCCCAACATTTGGGGTTATTACTCTCCCATGGAAATTTTTTATGGTCTCCCTTCATTGTTTTTTGTTGATCCAGCAGATGCGAGAAGTGGACAGGATAATGACCAAGATGCTATAATTTACGACGCCAAAGCAGTTCCTCCTGAAGTTCACGCAAGAGTAACTGAATATCATGTTAAAAATTCTGAGCCTTTACCGACTGATACACAAGTACGATGGTCTTTCAAATTAAAAATAATGGCACTACTGATGAAAGCTACTGAAGGAATATCAGTTGATAACTTTTCTACTGATTATTACTTAAATTTCAAAGAGAGTCTTGACCCTTGTCTCTACAACTTCAAAGATTATCAAGATATGTTTGAAAATCTATCTAAAGAACTGCCCATTGAAATGTCCAAAAATTACGCTGGCGATGATTTGACAGTTTCATTAACTCCTGATTGGCAAACCCAATGGATCGAAATCTGTGTATCCAATAATCAGTATGATGCATTAAAGCAAATGGTTCCTATTGATGATGTTGTACTTCCTGGAGATATAATTAATGACGTTAACGTTGATGAAGCTACAGTTGATACAGAAGTTTGGCATCCCATTATTCTTACATCTGTTGTCAATCCAAATTGTATTTTCGTCAACTTACTTGGTAAATACTATTCAGAAGCTCTCGATTGTATAATGAATAAACTTGGAGTTTATGAATCTTCATATTGTGTTGGCTATGAAGTGCCTTCATATTGTCTACGAGAAAATTTCTTCTGCGTAGCCCCATTCGATGTCGATAACTGTTGGCATCGTGTAAAAATCGTTAAAGTTGAACCTGATCGCAAGAAAGTGAAAGTAGCTTTCATCGATTATGGCGGAGAACAATTGATCGAAGCCAAGAAATTAAGGCTCATGAAAAAAGAATTCGGTCATCTTCCAGCCCAAGCCATTCGTCTTTCACTCAGAGGAATTCGTCCAAAAACTGATAGGTGGCCTTCTAACGCTAAAAATGAAGTGCTCGCCTTCATGAACAGAGCAATGAACCAGAATGAGAACATTCTTTGTCGCCTTCACACTCGTCAATCGCCAAATCTCAAAGAGACAGTTAGATTCGAAGCCGAAATTTGTGCCAAAATTCCCATTGGATATATTTTCCTACACAAACAATTAATCGAAAGTGGACTTGCGGTAATCGATGACATTTCAACCATTCGAAATAAAAACGAAGTCACGATTCCAAACAATGATGTCCACCGACCTGTTCGAAGACAAACAAGAATCGCAGCGAAGAAGATGATTGCCACTCTCAAGAATCTTCAAACTCAAAACGGAAAAGTCCAATCAAATGAGCTCTCATGTGATACTCAAAGTGAACACTCAAGCCAAATGAATGGTGATACTCCACATACCAATGGATCTGTTGATCATTCCAATAATTCCGAGGCCAGTAATCTCGAAGACAAATTAAACAAACTAAATCTCTAAAGACTTGAGCAATATTAATCAAAACAATTATTCCCAATATATTTCAAGACTTTATATGTAATTCATTTACTATCGTTTTTTGTTTCCCACCTTAAAAATATTAATTTTCTTGTTTAACAATATTTACATTATATTCAATAATTTGGACAATTTTCTAATTTGACACAAGACAATTGTTTATCCCTTCGACAATTAATATATTCCCTAGTCCTCAATGCTAATTAATAAATTATCTAAATCTCGATCTAGTGGAAAATAGCAAAACAAACAATAACAAATTAACCACCGAAGTGATTAAAAGAGTTAAATTGTTAAACTCAAATGATTCACTAATCTTGTGTAATAAGAAGGAGATTTGATGACTCATAATATCCTAATTGTGATCGAAATAAACTTTTCATTTTGTTTGAACTTAATTTCTTTGGATTTTAATTCTCTTCGTTAAATTGAGAGACAATTGAAATGATTATTGTTATTTACGATACATAATTAAATGTCTTTTAAAAAGACATTGTTACAGTTATAATTATAATTTAGATTATATTGTGATGTCAATTGTTATTTAAACACATTAATTACAATCATTAATTAAAATAAATGATTATTTTGTCTGATGATAAAATCAGAAAATGGGGATTGGAAAAGGTGAGATGAAAGAGTGACAATTGTTTTACAAATTATATCAACAATTAATGGTAGTGTATATGCAGAGTTGTAATGGTTTTTAAATTCAATGATTAAATGAAACAATTATTACAAATCAAACTGATTAATTAAGCTTTTTTTCTAATCACATTAGTTGATTTGTCGGAGCACAAAAAGAAAATTTCTTTCATCTATGATTCTATGATTAGTTATCTAATCCAGTCTTTCGTAAGTTTTTGTAAGTTGATTTGTTAATCACAATTTGGGGAGAACAATTAAGTTTCATGTTCGTTATTGTTAATTAATTGTAATAAAAGTTTGAGAAAAGACCAACATCAGGTAAACGAGATTCAGTTGGGGAAAAGCAAATCAAATGTACTTCTAGTCATTGGAAATTAAGTAAAACATTTGCAGAAAGTTGATTTGCTTTCGATCCTTTCGATGGATCATAATTGAATTAATCAAGATGAGAGAGGAGATTAAGAGGAAAATAATCACAAAAGTAATGATGGCCAATTGTTCAGAGTAGAGGTCGTTTATTTTGGACTATAATTCAACTGGAATCTCTCGTTATCGTCTCTTTTGTTGATCCTCTCGAAGACTAAGGTAATTGAATTCATTTTGTTTTGAGAAAAAAACATTGGATAGAAAAATCAAAAGAATCGAAAATGATTAATTGTTTGATTTACATGAAATTTCATCGATTGAGTATCACTATTTTGTTGTAGAATTGATATTTAAACGATAAGAAAAAGATAAATAACTTCCAAAGGTAAGTAATTGGGGTGAATTTGTATCTCTCTGTTTTTTTTGGTAAGGGTCACAAATGCGCCTCACAAGATTCACTTTCTTGAGGTAAACTTGATAAAGATGCCAAAGCTGATTTAATTGTAGGTGATGTTAATGATCCTGAGGCTAAAGCTCCATCAATTAGTCCATTGAGCTGTTGTTGTTGTTCCGTTGTCAATGAAGTTAAAATATTATTTGCCAAACCAAGAATATCATTCTCGTTGAGGTTTAATGATGTCGCATTTGTTATCGATCGACCTGTTAGATCATGAGATGTAGATGAAGAAATTAGTGACTGAGAAACAACCGAAGAGCTTGGAACAGAAGAACCAATAGGAGGTGAGGGTTGTATTGGCGTTTGTTGAACAGATTGGGATGATTGTTGTTGTTGGTGCGTTAATTGAGGTGATGGAGTTGTTAATGTTGTCACAGATGATGTTTGATGATGTGAAAGTTGAGGTAATTCCCCATTAACTGTACCATGATGATGATGATGTTGATGATGATGATGATGATGATGATTGTGGTGATTGTGATTATGATTGTGATGCTGAGTTTGATGAGAATAATAATTGGAATCACCATTAATCACAGTTGTAGGAGTAACAGATGTAACTCCTTCTCTGGGTAAATTATTTACAGATGATCTTGAGCTTCCGCCAACTGCGGCCGCTGCCACCGAAAGATATTGTACATTCTTACTGACAGCAGCTAAAGCTTGTTCCAGCGCTTCCGACTCTTCTTTACTTGGAATATCACCATTCTTAAGATTGTCAACAAATAGATCGTTAAATGCATCATCAGGTATTTTTAACACTTCCGTTAGATCAGCATCAACAAATCCTGGAGGCTCAGGTTCAGGACCGTTTTCTGCACAAAGAGGTGGCAATTCAGCGACCAAAGATGCGACCAGAGCTTCATCACTTTGCGCCAATGAGGTGACACAACCGCCTAAATGACCAGGGATGATTCCATTTCCAGGTAACACAACAGGAACTGAAGAAGTTAATGTTTGGGCTACACTTGTTTGGTCTCCACGGATTAAAAGAGCTGCATTTGGAATTGTGGATAAATTACCATGAGCACCTCTTCCATTAGAAAGATGTGAAGACGCAACTGTGGAAGTGGGAAGATGTTGAAGTGGTTGTGGTTGTGATGCGATTTGTGGCTGTGGCTGAATTGGCTGATGATGAAGGTGATGTCGATTGATTTGAAGTGACATTGCTTGAGGAATGGTAGATAATATAGAAGATTGTTGTTGTTGGTTCGGTTGAACAGTTGCGATTGATAGAGAGGTTGATGTTGTTATGTCATTTGGTTCAGTCTTGATTGCTGATAAATGTATTTTAGAAGTATCACAATTATTTGTATTAACAAAATGGCTATCGGTTGAGTCTTGAGAGAATAAACTAGAACTATCAACATTGTCAATCGAACCTGGAATGCCTTTACCACCAGTTAATTTCCGACGTTTCTTAGTTCTTTTACCATGTCTACCAGGTCCACTTAGCAGTTTACCTTTACCCGAAACTGGTCCAACATTAAGTAAATTATTGGCTTTTAAATTGTCTTCCTCTGGTTGGATACAAGGGGAGATTAAGCTTTTCTTATGCAAGTGATGATTACAAAGAGGCTCATCCCTGAATACATCTAATGATGGATTACAACATTGGGCTGATGTTTCACTATCTTTGGCTGTACATCTTACAAAAAGCAATTGATCAACATTATATAAAATGTGTCGTTGACAATGTCTACTAAATGGAAGAGATGGTTTGTCACATTTACATAGATTATCTTCAAAACAGCAAATTCCTTTCTTAATACTCATCACATTTTGTGGGAACTTTGAGCTTATTCTTGAATTGCGACTTTTCTCTAGAATCTTATCCAGATAAGTTTGACCAGGTTCATCTAGTAAATCATCTTGTTTAATTCGTTGTTTGGTAGATTTAATCAAATTCCTTACTTCAGATTCATTCACCTTGATTAAATTGGTCAACAATAATTTATGTGAGATCAATTGGCTTCGGATCTCACTCATCTTTAAATCTTGAGTGATCATCAGGCGGTTTGACATAGTCAAGGAGGGTAAAGGTTTAACATCATCAATAATAGATGATGAATCATCTTCATCACATGAAGAGAATATTGTATAAGATTGGAAGAGATCTTCTTGACAGTGATGGTGCTTGTTATTCCGATGAAATGGTAAATGGTGATTAACATGAAGATGGTGATGGTTTGAGTGATTACCATTATTAGTGTGATGACTTGAATGTGGATGCATCATGATGTACCAAAGAGATTGGACCTACAAAGAATACACATTAGATGAATGGCATCAGTTTATGGTTAACATTGATTCTAAATATTGATCATTTTTAATAAAATAATGACAATAATTACCAAATGTTTAAGGTAAACAGTGTTTTCAATTAATAGTCAAAGATAAAAACAGAAGAGAAAAAATCAACAAACAGTAACGAGTCCATATCTTACCTGAGGAAGATCCGAATACTTTTCTGATCCCAATTCGTTTACAATCAAGTAGAATCGATTGTAAATCAACTAATAAACGACAAATTAATCCAGCAAGATAAGCACCTTTCCATTAACCAATGACCGAATTAAGCTCATTAATTTAGGCTATCAAGTTAGTTGATTTAAAGATTAACTTAATCAACTTAACAAAGAAAAACAAATGATTCAAGTAACAGATTAACTTTCATTTCAATTGTTATCAATGTAATGTGACTTTCACTTGATGACAATTGTTCACCTTCACTTTAAAATTGTTTCAATTTAAATTGGAGCAAACAATTTACTCCAATTGATTAATTGATAATCAATAGTCTAGTGATAATTTTTTTCTTCTCCGAGTTAATTGAATTAAAAAACAATAGAATTTGTTTAGTTACTTTTCAGTCCAATAGGTGGAAGGCAATTCGATTTTCTGTTTTACTTTAAATCGAATTAAGTGTCGCCATCTAGCGGACGTCGATTCATTTTTTAATTTTTCTCAATAAAAGAAAAAATTTTCATCATTAACTGTTGATTAGCCAACAACAGGTAAAACAGTGACAATTTATTTTTTCCCTTTGTGACTCTTATGACCTCAGGTTGTCCTTTTAACCCAATGAAAGAATCAATGGAGAATAGTGAAAGAATCGTGAATGATTCTATTGATGGAAATCAATTAAATCCAAATCTTCTTCATCCCAATCATAATAATCTTAATCATCATGGAATTTATTTTCCTAATTCCAATATCCGTGATTGTTCAATCATCGATAATTCATCACTGTCATCAGGTAGATTTGCTCGATCATTGTCATTAAGTACTTCAGGTAATCGATCAAGATCAGGTTTGGATCATCGAGGTTCCCTTCCGATCTCATCAATTGTCCCGTCAACAATTAGTGAAATTCCGATTGAATCTGATGATACTTTCTCTCATCCAATTGACATTGATGGTCGGTCAAAATACAATAAAAGCTATAATCTATTCGATAATTATTCTAATTGTGCCCGAGAAGCTCATCTTAATCTTGCCTACGAATTGGAAAAGGAAAAATCTGATGAATTTGTAAGTAAATAACTAATCATGATCACCTATTAAATTGTGGTTAAAACTTGAATCTATTTCTCCACTAGGATCCAAAGTTAATTGCTCTGAAACAAAATTTCTTAGAAGATACAATTAAATCTGATTTTCCGGATAAACAATTACCTGAAGACTATCCCATAGATCCAGTAAACTATATCACTCGACGAGTAATTAACTTGATAAAGTCAAATTGTGCTGTGATCAAATTAATCGCCTTTCTATTGTACAATCTTTACATTGTCATTGCCATACGAAAGACTTGGACAAAGGTGAATACACAACGATAATAGTAATTTTCTTTGCTTCAACTAATCAATCAACTTTCAATTTTTCTCCTTCAGTCAAAGTCATGTTGTGATGGAATCAAATTCTTGGTCTTAATTACCTGTATCGCCTATGGAGTTGCCATTTACTATTTAGCGGTGAAAAAGTTGATCATCCGACCGATTCATAAGAAATTCATTCGACCAGTTCTAAGATCAATCGAATCGAAGCCAAATTTACATGGTTACATTCGCTTAGCTACTTTTAGCACCATCATAATTTTATTCGTCATTTACACTATTTATCTCTCTCGAAACAACAGTAAAAAGATCATCTCTGCATGTGGAATATTCATTTTCATAGGAATCTCATATCTCTTATCGGTCAATCGACCTGCAGTCCAATGGGGTCAAGTTATCTGGGGAATTAGTTTCCAATTTCTCATGGCCAATTTAGTTCTTAAGACTCAAATCGGCAAATCAATTTTCCAATGTGTCGGTGATAAAATTGTCACTTTCCTTAACTTCACCGATAAAGGATCAGAATTTGTTTTCGGAAGTCTCGTTGATGGTAATGGGACAGGAAGTGTTTTCGCATTTAAGGTAATCGATTAATATTGATTCTTGAACTGTTCCAATTGATACAATTAACTTTAATTCTGTTCTAGGTCTTGCCGATTATCATATTTTTCAGTTTTACTGTATCGGTTTTATATCATTTCGGTATAATGCAAATCGCTGTAGTTAAACTTGGCTGGTTTCTTCAAGTCACCATTGGATCAACGGCTTGTGAGTCTCTCGCCGCTGCTGGAAACATTTTCTTGGGAATGGTATGAACTACAACTGATCAGCTATTAAATTGCAGTTTAATTAACTAATTCTCAATCCTATTTAGACTGAAACTCCATTGATGATTAAACCTTATCTACAATTAATGACACAATCAGAACTATTTGCCGTTATGACTGAAGGTTTCTCCACGATTGCTGGATCAGTTTTAGCAGCTTATATCAACTTTGGAGTAAGTAAATCAGTTAATCAGTTTGCTTAACTTTACATCCATTCATCTATTTAATTGTTATTATTCAAGTTCATGTGACTTTCTATTAATATTATCTTGAATATTGATCAATTATCACTGATTGTTTATCATTCATCTCTAATGCTTTTTCATGCTTCGTCCAATTTAGAGGTCCAATTAAGTTAATTGATTAGTTTCATTATTAATTTCCCATTTTTCTCAATTATTTTGATTTATTTATCGTGAAAAATTACAAGGATTTATCAGCAATTTAAGTTATATTGTCATTCGATCATATGGTTTTCTGGAACGATTTAATTACCATTATTTAGATTAACTTAATTATAACAACAACAAACACAATCGTTCGGGATTTTCATTGTATTTATAGTTAACTTGAACAATTTAAATTACTTTATTAGTCTAACTTGAAACTTTCAAATAACCTTTTAGGTTCAGATACCTGACTCAAATGATGAATTGACTGATTAATTAATCATTAGCTAACATAACTCTCAATCAATTAATTGAAATTCGATACTTTAAATAGCTTTCTAATTGTAATCTATCAGATTGATCAATGTTGAGCAACTAAATCAACCATTAACCGTTTTAAAAATGTTTCTGTCGCAATGTATTGGTGTTTAAGTTTGATTTCCATTCGTGAATCATACATTTGTATTTGTCAATTAATTTCCATACCGAATTAGTAATCAATTGTTTTCTAATTTTTTACAATCATTGATAATCTCAATTCCTCTTGAACATCGATCGGGTGCGAAATTTATATTGGTAACAATTAATCTTTTGGTGTTTTCTAGATGAGTTAATTTCTGATTCTCAAGTTTCTAAGATTAATCTTCCACTTGATGATAAAACTGATTTGGTTAATTGTTACAAGTTATTGAGTTTTGTAGACAATCATTTCTAAAACTGTTCATTGTAATACTTGTGATAATTTAAACGATAATCTGATCAACTGATCATGAAGTTCAAGAGCATGAAAAAGATTCAAGGTTAGTTGATTAGTTGAAGAGTTAGTCAAATTAATTACATAAATCATCACAATTTAAGTCAATTAACCAAACCTGGTTCACTATCAAACAAATTAATTGCTATCAATTTGCATGTTTATGTCAATTCAAGGTTTCGATGATCCTTTTAATCAAAAGTAATTTTGATTGAAATTTTTTAAAAGGCAATTGACTTTTAATCACTCTGATCATCTAAATTGTGAAAATTTTGCCCTTAATTTAAATTATTTGACTGACTAATTGATTGATTACAAGTGATTTGCGAGATGTATTGAATTGTCTAATCATTTCCTTCCTGTCCAATATTGATTTGTCATGTTTCCCTATCTTAGAATAATGTTTATCAATGAATCACAATTAAGCTAATGAATTAATTAACATCTAATTGTCTTAATCAGATCAATGCCAGTTACTTATTATCTGCCTCTGTCATGGCTGCACCAGCATCTCTTGGTATATCAAAATTGGTTTTTCCAGAGACACAGAAAAGTAAAACAAAGTCGGAAGATATTCAAATTGAAAAAGGGTAAGTGATTAGTTGATTTGATTGAAATATTGGACTAATTGCAATTCCACTATCGATTTAAAAAAGAACGGACAGAAATGCACTTGAAGCGGGTGCTAATGGCGCTGCTCAGGCTGTTAAACTTTGTGCAAATATCGCCGCTAATTTGATTGCTCTACTTGCGTTTGTGTCTTTGTTAAACTCAATCGTTTCTTGGTTTGGTTCATTGGTCAATGCTGATTACATTAACTTTACGGTAAATATTATAATAAATGGACCGTTGGTTAATTGTCTTGGTGAAAATCTAATTGTTATTTCATTTAATTAGTGGCTTTTATCTCGACTCTTCATCCCAATGGCCTGGGTGATGGGAGTTGAATGGGAAGACACTGAAAAAGTGGCTCAGTTATTGGGATTGAAAACATTTCTCAATGAGTTTGTTGCTTATACTGAATTGGCAAAGATGAAAGATACTAATCAACTGTCAGTAAGTACGACAATTAAATATCAATGAAAGGATATTAATTGTTAATCATTCAACAGGAAAGATCCCAAGTGATTGCGACTTTTGCTCTTTGTGGCTTTTCAAATATCTGTGCCATTGGAATTCAAATGGGAGGACTTGGCAGTTTAATTCCTCATCGGAAATCAGAATTAGCGTCGATGGCCGTTCGAGCGATGATCGCAGGATCATTAGTGACCTTCATCAGCGCTTCCATGGCTGGACTACTTTACACAGAAACAACAACAAATTTCAATATCACAACAGTCGCTCCAATGTGATAACAATAATTAATTTTTTATTTCGTTCTCACAATTTACTCAATTTAATTTGAAACTTTTTTAATTCTCGACAATTTAAGTTGATCATATTCCTCTAAATTGTTGTTTTTCTTCATAATTTTAATAGACTTGTTAAATTTGTTAAATCTTTCGTTCTGTCAATCTTAATTACTTTTGTAATTTAAAATTATATTTCACGCATTTTCAACAATCAAATTTTTGATTGTTTTTAACACTTAATCCATTTCTAGAAAATTGTAAATTTATCATTAAATCATAATCTCAATAAATTTATATCATTTATATTAAATTGATCTTAATTAAAAGTAATTCATTTGAAGGGAACCTTTCACAATTAAATCAACAAGTTTACTCTCTATCATGATCCAAATTATTTCCTCACTTGTTTAAATAACAATCAACTGATGGATCTACTTGTCAATGTTGATTGTTCCTGTTTGTTATTGTTTAATTACTCGATTGTCAATGTTTACTTTTAATCGATTGTAATGATTAACCGAATTAAATTAATTATAAACATTTTATTTGAAGTTAAATAACAAAATTTTATTCAAGTATAAAAAATTATGAGTTGTGAGATTGAGTGAAAATGTGTTTAGTTGTTGATTTGTTTCTTAATTGCTTCCAATTAGTGTTCATATGCGTGTTTTTGATGCTTGATTGGACTTTGATTGCTTTGTTTTTGTTTACCGTAATTCTTATTGATGCTAATTCAGCATAATAGGTTTAGTTTGGACGGAGTTGTAATTAGTAGTGGGTGTTTGGGCGGTGAGGGTTTGGCAAAAAATAGATATGTCACAAAACATTGATTAAAAAGCTGCGAGTTGTTTGTAATCAAAAGAAACAATCAAATCAACTCGACACAATAATCGGTAATATTAACAATGTACCACTAATTGGTACGTCAAAAAATTAGGGAGATAATTAAGTGCAAAATGGTGATGAGAAATATGGGAAAAGGATAAGGAAAGTTGAGATGAAAAAGATCATGGACTTAATGATGATTAATAATTAATTGTTATGTGTCTAAATGAAATATTCTTTCTTTTTTGTTATATCAGGTCCAGTTTTGCCGATAACAACGGCCATGTCGGGATCCAGAGCATCTCTTGCTCCTTTATCTTCGTGCGTTACATAGTCGCCCTTATGATGTGCCATGAATCGGCCACTAAACATTAAGGCTAATACAACAATTACAACAATTAAGGTAACAATTACACCAACGATTGCAATGACTGGCCCTGAATCGCCTTGAGCTGCACTTCGAGAGCCTAATGGTGGGGGACGAGTTTCAAGCTCCTCTGGTGGATGAGTAACTGATTCGATTCCACAAGAGTCCTCACGAACTGAATCGAGATCAGGATAGGCATAAACATTTGATCGACGATCTTGTTGGAAAAGTCTCTTCAATGGGAAATGATCGTCGAATGAGACTCGACTAATACAACCGACGAAACCATCGCCCGTGGACATAGTTTCATTTCGACCAACATAAATACTCTTCAAACGATTAAACTGAGCGTCAGCTTTATCGGCAATGTTGAAAGTATAAACAATTGGTTCGTATCCATCAACCATAATTGTTATTCGTCTTCCAAGATCAGATCTTTTAATTATCACATCGTGATGTTGGCCAAGGGCAAAGTTTTCATTTTTAATAATCAATTCTTGTCTTTCAAAGCCAAAATCAAATACGAGTCGGAGATGACCACTGGTTGACATCATTAGATTGAGATATTCACCAGAATAAGATGAAACGCCAAGAATAAGACCTTTGTTTTCGGTTGTTGTAAAACCAACTCTAATGAACTCTTCCAAAGTTGAAAGTGTCGTCTCAAAATCATACTTGATAAAATTGTCACTTTTAAGATTAACACCAAACTCATCGGCACAGATTCTGCCTTTGAATGCTGTCCATTGGCAGTCACAACTGTAACTAGAATATCTTTCATAACAGGTTCCGTTGTTTAAACATGGACTTGATTGACATTTTCCAACACAGCCTGGAGTTATACCATATAAGGATCTTCCTGAGTCACCTTCTTTGGCAATTCTTGCAAGGTCAACGAATTGACCACTGATTGAAAGGGCACGTAAACATCCCAGGTAACCTTCTTTCTCTTCAACAGAAGCACCGACAATCAAAGGCGATTTCAACTCCATGGGTCTGGGTTTGGTCATACTATTGGTCACTTTGTGCATCAATTTTCCGTCGATCGAAAGAGTGGCCTCTTTTTGATTCCATTCGACTAAAACTGAATGCCAATTGTCGTCACTTAATTTGTAAGGAGTTTCAGCCTCAATCTTTTGACTACCTGAGCCACAATCTAAGACAAATTGTATTGCCTTTGATGAGATGATTGTCAATTTGATAAAATCAGTTGGACCTCGAGCGTGCAAAAGAACACCATATTCAACTGTGGTCTTGAATTGTAGATAAATGTCCCATGAGAAACCAATTTCCCCAATGGGAACAGGAATGATACTGTCATGTTGTCTGAAAGTAACAACATTGTCAAACATTTGATCACCTTCACATATTAAAGGTCCAATTGTAAATCGAGCTCTTTTCTCTGGTGTCGCTTTGATTGTATCACCAACACGAATTGATCGAATTGGCAGAAATTCTTTATCTGTTAAATCTCCTTCATCAACTCCCCATTCGTGACTACCCATCGAGTCACAGTTACACCATTTGGAAGGATCTCGACAGTTACCAAAAAGTCCACATTTACATTTACGAGATTCCGGAAGTGACCCTCCCCAATGAGACATTTTCTGGTTGTTTCTACTCATCCACCAAGTGAATGGTTTAAAATGTTTCTGTAAAGTATACGGGGTGTTGAAAAGACGCGCATTTTTACATTCATATTTAATAAATTGTTTGCATGTATACGATTTGTTCACTAAAACGGTGATCTGGTCAAAATCAGCACTGTAAATCATATTTTGTTGATATGATCCGGGCTCTTCGTAATCAGTAACCTCAGTTGGAGCTTCGTTTCGGTGATGAAGGAAGGTTTGAGTTCGATCACCATGAAATTGACAAGTTACTTGGAATGGTTCTAAAGGACCACTACCATCAACATCAATCATAATACTTTGTTTCTGTTGGACGGGATGTTCAATTCGATAGGCATCACAGGACAATGAGTAAGCAGGAACATGACAAACGGCACCAGTATAACCAGTATTTGTACAGTCACATGTAAAAGATTCGTGATCTTGTCTACAGATACCATTGTGTTCACAAGGATTCTGATGACACCGATCAACCATTTTACAAGCATTTTGAAACACATCACTAGGATAAGTTGATATTATGCGATCTGGAGTCAATTCATCAAGAGCAATCAATATATCACTAACATTAAGATTACGAATACATCCAATGAAACCAGGCTTATTGAACCAACCCCCACCGATTGCATAATATTGACCACTTTGAATTGACATTTTCCTTCGGGTGATAGACTCTTGACCATCGACAATGATTCTCAATTGATTTGTTTTAAAACTGATTTGTAAATTATGCCAAAAGCCATTATTTAGATTCTTATTATGGAATGGTTCAAGAAGTAAAGCTGAACGATTGGTCTCCCGTGTTTCCAAGTTAATCAATAATTTTCTCTTATTAAGAGAAGCAGCAATATAGCCATCGGTTGAAAATCGATGGAACAATAAAACACCATCTTCATTGAAGGTTCGAAAATCGAAACTTATATCTAATCCATCATTGATCGGTGTATCGACTTTAATGTAAGCTGAAGTTGCTCGGAATGTAATGGATGGAAGATTTTTCAACTGTGGATAAAGGAAACATGGAAAAGAAATTAATTTGTATTCAAGTATCAAAATTGTTGTAAAGAAAGAAACACAATATTTAGAAATGTGATTCCAATAGCTAATTGCTTAATTGGAATAGATAGTGAAGATTGAAGAGATTGGAGCTGAAACAATCCCAATCAAATTATCTGAATGAAACATGATTACTGAAGTTCGGAGTAATGGTTGAGTGGCCACGACAAACTTTTCTTCATGATTAAAGAAAAACTTTCACTATTAACAACAAACAAAGCGACAATTTAAGATTCTGTCGAAGGAGTTTCATGTTGTTGATGGAGAAATAAAAAATCTATGAAAATATATCAAGCCTCAAATAGATCATAGGTTGATAATCATGAAGCATAAAAGCTTGACACCAAAATCGTTTGTAATTATTTTCTATAAGATCATATAATTGTTTACCAGAACAATGAGAAACTTGATGAACATTGTCACACCTCAAGATGACATAATTTCCAGAGTTTGTCAACAATTTAAACAAGAATCTTACCCAACAAGTATTTCCAGGCTTGGTGCTGGCATCAAGATAATTTTCTGTTGTTAAATCTTTGACAATATTTGTATCATTTATAAGAAGATCCCGAATACATCCAGTGAAATTTTCTCTAACAACATGATGATAATTTGAGATTGCAGGTAATCCACCAATGTAAAACTATTTAACATAATGGAAAGAGAAAGAGATGATTAGTTATCAGAGTAAGTTCAATACCCAGGTAAGTTTGAGAGAGAAAGGTAAAATATTGGCTCACCTTATCATTAAGATCTAATCTCACAGAATCGCCAGTTATTTTATGCTTAACTGTATGGTCATCAACAGTTAAATTGAGATCACGATTATTTCGGGTTATAAGTATGTTGTGCTCTTTTGAGTCATCTAATAGGCTACCGGCAGTGATGGTGTTAATTTGATCAGAATTTCCTAAATTAAGGGACAACACAATCTTATTATCCTGCATTCGTAGAGAGAAAATATCTCCTTGAGTTCCACGGCTATAAATGAGATTTCCATTGGCTGAATTTGTAGTAAATTTTAATGAAATTGTATCATGGAATGATGAACTTTCAAGTTTCATAATCACAAAAGATTGGCCATCGAGATTCAATATTTCTTCACCTGAAACATTTAACCAACATAATAGAAGAAGAAAAGTAAAAGTAAAGATCACACTAGATGAGATTCTAAATAAAGTCATGATGATGATGTTATATTAGTTGCTGGTTTATTCACTTTTGGTAGGAAACCAGAAAAACAAAACAAAACAAAACAAAAAATAGGAAAATAAAAATGAAAGAGAGATGATAAAGAAACGTAAATGATTACGATGTTTTAATTAATCACATTGAATTTTTATGTTCACAGACATTTCTAGTAAACATATTAGTCACTAAATTAACCATTTAGTTAATCAGATTAACAATTGTAGGGAAAATTGTTAACAATTGTTCAGATGAAACTTTAAGGCGTGGTACTTAAGCAGGACAACAGTTAATAATTCAAATTGAATATAAAAATATTTACCTGTGTCCACCTTCAGAGAAAGAGACTAACTGACATCTATTGGAACTCCAGGTAACCTCATCAGGTGGCGAATTTCGGTCCATCGATTAAAAATCGATTTTCTTCGATTTTTCATTTGTAAATATTTTCTTCTTTTGTTTTGATTATTGTTGTTGATTAATTTTCTCTTTTTTTTATTGTTTTTTAGTTCGATTAATAAGAATGTCTAAATTAATTGAGAAGAGAAAACGGCCTGTAAAGGATCGTGTGATTAAAGAGGTAAGAATTTCATTCTATTTGGATTGATAAATGTTCATTTTAGATAATTTATTTTCTTTTTCTTCCATTCTGTTGGTGTTTTTTTCTTTTGATGATTTTTATTAGCCTCATTAGATCATATGTTTTTCAACTTTTCTTTTTGTTTTAGTTTTCTTTTTCGCTATTAATTAATTGGTTTGTGTGGTTTTCTTTTTCCTTCTCTCTAGATGGACGTTTACTTGACTTCTAATCTTAGCTCTAAGTTACATGTTTTCAATTTTCCTCCTGGTTTTGATCCACTTTCTACGGACAAAGCGAGTCTTCTTGGTGTTAAAGTTAAAATGGAGAGTAAAAGATTCATGATGGATGTGAAAATTGATACTAAAAGTCGAAACTTTGATCGTGGTAAAAGTGAACAAATTGCCTACATTACAGACAATAGTGATGAACCTTTTTTCCCAAACAATTTTATGAATAAGTTAATTTTAAAATCAAATGAAGCCAAACCATCAAATCTACAATATGCTGTTGGCTTAATAAAACATGGTACTGATGAGATTCACTTAACTCCAGTTAATTCTGTCATACAATTTAAACCTAGTTTTGATTATTTTGACAAGAAAGACAAAAAATCAAAGTTAGAAGCTCCTGGAAATTTTAAAGGAGGTGTTGATTCAAATGGAGAAGGAGATGATAAAAAAGAAGAAGATGCCAAAAAAGTTCTACTGAGATTCGAGAGGCCTGATGAAGAAAGGCTTAAAAAAGCTCGAGAATCTTCATTCTCATTCATTAGACAAAAAATCGCCAATGAACCTTGGACTGATGTCAGCGTTAGTCTTCGTGATACTCCAACTGCAATGACAGAGAAGCAAAATTTAATTTTTCACCAACCAACTGATGAATTTTTCAATGGCTACAATAATCCTGATGTTATGATGTCCGATGATAAGGAAACTCACAATTCCAATGGATTGGAGAATTCAATCTCTTCAATTGAAGACTGTCTCAAGCCATTTATCAATGAAACGACCAATACAACTTGTCTTTCAGCTCTAACCAAGTTGAAGAATGTACCTCTTAGCAATAAGATTCATATGATTATGATGAAAGCAAAAGTAGTTTCATTTAGTGATTTAAAAAATCTTCTACCTGATGTTATGGATCCTGTTCTGTTAATTCGTAATCTTCAGCAATTTGCTGTTATTGTGCAAGGAAATTGGGTAATTAAGAGCGAAGTACTTTACTCTAAGGAAAACGGCGCTTCGACCACCAGTCCACTCACTGGTATTCCTATTGAGCTTCTTGGACGTGCCAGAGATTTCATTTTATGGTCATTTTCTCAGGGAAATTCTGTCAGTAGAAAAGAGATAATTAAAACAACAGCGGTAATTAATTTCGTTTTTAATCTTTTAACAATCGATATAATTGTTTTTCTACTAATATAATTACATATTTTTCTAGGTTCCACCAGATGAAATTCTTCATGTTCTGAAAGAAACTGCAAAATTTAATCACGACAACAAACTTTGGTCTTTTATGCTTCCTAAGGATTCAGATTTCATCGAAAAGTGAGTTAAATCTACAAATCATATCTAGTCGAGAACCTTAATTGTAACTTTTTTTCCCACGTTTTACTCATGAAATTACAGGTACCCTGAAGTTGTTCAGAGACAAAACCTTTTATGGGAAGCAAGAATTGTTCAGGTGAACAAAGCTTATTCAGCTCAAAAAGTGAAACCAAGAAAACATCGTAAAAGTAATTCATCTTCTTAAACAATCAAACAAAAACTTAATAGTCTGCTCATTATTCTGGTTAAATTTTGTAATCTGTTTCTCATGTAACAAACAAAAATTGGGAATTAAACTCAAATTAATGTAAATCATTACTCAAGTTATTGTAAGAAAATATGAGAATAATGAAATGAACATGCTGATTGTTTAATGTTGAAAGGGAGAGAAAAAAATAATAATAAATGTTTGATAATTAGAATTGGATTAAAATTATTTTAATCGAATTTTTCATTTTAAATGTTCTTAAAATGACCGGTAGATGTCATTCGAAACGAACAAATGTTTTCCAGCTGAGAAAATCTCAGAGTTTAAGAGAATCTAATTAAAACTAATTAAAATCAATTAAAAATAGTAAATATATTAAAAATCAGTGACATAAAGGTAAATAAACCCTCAAGGAAACATGGCAAATCAAAAAAACAGTGAACAGGTTAGTAAAAAGTGTGAATACACACTCATGTGAAAACCAGCATGTGTACACTAATACAAACGATATCTTCTGATTTTTACAATAGGCTTCTCCAACATTTCCAATGTTGAGAAATCCATCAAATGAAATGATAACAAAATACAATGAGATGAAAGATAAAATATTATCGTTCTTCGAAAACTCACAAATCAATATGCCCAAAATGCTTGAATATCTCTCGTGTTCACCCATTGAAAAACTGGATGAAGACTCGAAGATAATCAAATTACTAATTGAGGACCCGGTGGATGATCAAGGTGAAAAAATCAACAGCAAATCAGTTGAATGGCTTAAAAAGCTACTGACAGCGTATCAAAAGACTCTAAAAGTTCGGATGGTAAAAGAAAAAACCGCTACTACCGAAACTGTTATCACGGTTGATACCCAGTTAATCAACTCGAATAAAGAAAAAACAACTAACCCAAATGATAAAGACAAGTCGACAAAATCTAAAAGAAATAAGAAATCAGAGAAACAAGAGGAGAAGAACAAAATGGTTCAATTAGAACGAACAAAAGATATTCGATCGTCTAATCTATTGAAGAGAACCTCGGAAATACCAGCAAGTTGGTGGCCTTGGAACACATCAACTCGAGTATTCAAAATCAAAGTTCTTGGCTCGATGAATGAAAGATCGGTTGATTATTTGACTGAAATAATATCATCGACTCAACCAGATTATACATTTCGGATAATGGCATGGAAAGATTTCTCAGTCATTCTTCTCAATCAGGAGAATGAAAGAGCCGATCTGACCAGAAAACTCAAAGAACAAAATGTTAATGTGGAAATTGTACCATGGAAAAAACCGCAGATAAAGATAAACTATCTTCGTCCTCCAATAAATGAGAGCTGGGAAGATTATATGAACCGGATTATGACCATGAATGGGTTCAGAGATCGAAATCAATTCAAAGTCACATACTACTATGAGATTGGTCTTAATTCAAATAAATGGAGTGTAATTATGGAAGTCTCTCCAGCAATTCGCTCGATAATTGAAATAAAACTAAATGGAAAAATGTCATCTGGTTACAACTACCACTCAGTAGTAGACAATTTCCCGATATTAGCATGTCGATTATGTCACAAATTTGGGCACACTCGAAGACGATGCCGAAACCAATTGAGATGTATTAAATGCTCAGGTCAACATTTAATCTCAGCATGTCCAGCTAAAGAATCTCTATGCCCAACTTGCGGAAAGAGAGGCCATCAAGCATATACCAGAGATTGTAAATTGTACATTTCAGAGCTACAATTATGCATTTCCGATTATGATTATGAATATGATTTCTTAATGATGTAATAGCTATTCCCTATCTGGTGTCACTAAAATGATTAAGAACAAGATTTGCAAAACAATTTAAAATGAAAAATGTATTTTCAATGATTTAATAATATGCATAAAGCAATTAAACAATAAAATCAAAAATTAGAAATTCATGAACCAAGCAATTTTGGTCTCCAAGTGTATTTTTCGAGTTGGAAGAAAACTAAAGAACCCTCGGTGTATCGATACAATAATTCAGGGACAGGATTAAAAAGGTCGCCATTGTTAACCTCAATGAATCCCTTGTTTGTTAAAATGTTGACACAAGTGTGCCAACAATCAGGCTCATCACCAGGTTCAGGAGCACGAAAACGACAACCCTTAGAGACGCTATCAGAATCTTGATAAGTCATAAATACACTGCTAAAGGCAATTCGCTTATACTTCATGATCTTATCCTGGAAAATCAGCTCGAATTCCTCCTCGATATCAATCACAAAATTAATATCCTCCATTAAAGGTCCTCGTAAACTAATAGCAAGTAATTCAGGTAACTGGACTAATGTTACATTCTCTAAGCGCTTATAACCACCACCACATGTTGATCCATTTATAATATTTGGACAAGTTAACGGAATGAAATCACGCCAAAACTGTGGTCTCTTAATTAACTCAGAAATCTTTACAACCCCTAGACTCTTACAGTTGGGTCCGGGTAAATAAAGTACAGGGAAACTGTAGGACATATCACATGAAAAAGATGGACAATATTTACAAATGAACGAGGTCTTGACAACAAACATGAAACGTTGATGAAAGGCTTTGTCATTATTGGCTAATTTCCGGATGAGATCAGAATAAGCTTCATGTTCAGTACCACCGGGCTCTTCATAAACAGCACTACAAAAATCGCTCAGATGTCGTAACAACAACATTTGTTGCTTATCCAAATCTATATCATTGAAAGGTCGCTGTTTTGGAGGTAATTCAATCTCTTGATCAGGATACAATTTTTTAGGCAAAGAAGGTGGGATATTTCTGATGGAGAATCCTTCGATCTGAGAGGCTTTCCGTAACTTTCGATGGAAATTATACAAAGCACAAATCCACAAATCGGCAGGTTCGTTACCAGAAGTCAAATTACGTCTTTTGAGAGGATTAACAACCTTACCAGTTCCTAGAAGACTCGAACAATTCAGAAACGAAACAAATAATTGTTGAATGAATACTTGACAATGGAATAGAGGTAAGATAGCTGAATTCAGGAAGCAATGGCCTCTCCAATTTGGAAGCGTCATAAGGTAACTGGGCTACAAAAAGATAAATAGAATTATTCGCTATTTCCAATCTGATGTCACGAACTTACCATTATTAAATCCACATGATGATAGATTATCTTATGAATTAACTGATCGGCGGCCATATCATGAGCCTTGCGATAATCAAGATGAACACCAATACCATTGATTAGATCGTTCTCGATACGAACTATTAATTTGATGAGAAAAACGTTTTCATCATTGCAAGTAAACTTAGAATAAAACTTATCATCAATTGTAATGGATTTGTTGATGGTCAGAAATTCACGAATCAACTGAAACTTAGCACCAATATTAAAATCACTAAAACGGTATTTCTCGTAGACCCTTTTTTGTACGAAACCATTCAATGAAACGAATTTGAAATCATCCGGAATCTCGTTCTCGGACATGATGTAATCTATTCAATAAAAGAGAAAGTTTGAAATAACCACAAAAATTAAAACAATAAAAACAAGTTGCCAAGCAACAATCAAAAGAGGGAAAATCAGATGAAAAAGGTAATTGAAAAACCAAACGATGCTAACAATAACTCACCAAAATGCTAATAATCGTGTGAACATAACAACTGAGCTTATTGAAAATACTCAGAAAACGCCAAGATCAATAACAACCATTTGTGAACCAAATTTGAATAAGCTTTTGGAAATGGTCAACAATGTGAACATATTTGGTAAACCTGGAATATCAATAATTATCTCTGATGATCTGGATGGTAAATTAATAAAAGTGCCAAGTAGTGATGTGTTAGGTGTTTACATGGAAAAAATAAAAAGTGTGACGATCGTGATATACATCCGTCCATGGCTGAAAAATCACTTCGATGACATACTAACATCGTTCAAAGTGTTGATAGAAAAATTCAAAGATAACAACATCATATTAGCAGGAGATTTGAACACATCCGATAAATTTTGGCAAGAAACAATTAGAATCCATCCCAGGAGAACAGGAAGAAGAAAATTCTTCTACGACGCTCTCATTACGATGATAAAACAGGCCAAGTTGAAACCGATCTCAAGAAATATGATGACGACTTTCAATACAACTGAATGGGTAATTGACATGATTTTTGTGCCACAAGAAACCGAAATAATATCGACAGTAAATGTGAGGAATGAATCGGATCATCTGGCGATTCAATCATTGATTAAGCTGGAAAAAAAAAGAAAAGATAATAGAGGTTTCAAAATACTAAAAATCGGTTCATGGAAATACTCACCACGATTTAACACAAATGAACCTAGGAATTGGGATAGAAATCATCCGATCGTCAGAGTGGCAAGAGAGATAATCCATTTTCCTGATGATCATGGTATTTGGGTTTATCCAAAGAAGAAGAGAAAGAATCAATTTAAAAGACTCTTATCCATTCGAAAGAAAATTATTAGAAGTGGTTTACCAGTACCAATGGAACTATCGAGAAAGATTAATAAAAAAATGAAAAAGTTTAGTATCATATCGATGCTAAGAAACTGTAAAGACTCGAAAACACAGTGGGAAATAATAAGGAAACACTTACTAAGAGAGCGATCGAAAATTGACTGGAACGATCAAAGGACAATATCAAGTGCCAATTCATGGATGGAAAATTTCACAACAGAAAGACCAAAATACAAGGATGAATTTGTAGCAGTTGAAGGTAAATTACATGAACATGAGAGACGAATGATCCAGAACTTTCAAGCTAGGACATCAAGTTTATCGGCTGACAATTTTAACAAATATTCATGGAATAAATTCAAAAAACGGAATTATCAGATTATAATGTGGTTAATTGAAGAAATATTTAAAGTCTCACACGTACCAAACGTTATGACAACAGTAGGCTGTGGATTCGTTGCGAAAAGTGAAGGAAAACTCCGAATGGTAAGGACACCAAATTATCTAATGAAGATGATAGACAAGATCATCTCAGCGAGACTAATGGACATCACAGATGACTTTTTATTAACGGGAACACAATATGGGTTCAGAAGACTAACCAGCAGAGAAGATTATTACCTTAGGGTACAATCGATTCCAAATTTGGACAAGTCAGTAATAATAAAGATTGACATTAGAACTGCATTTGATGAAGTGAGCCTAGTCCCGATCTGGTGTCAGCTGGAGAAATACCTTGACCGCTCAACAATCGAATTAATCAAATCAATAAATAACAACTGCTGGATGACGATTTACAGAGACGGCAAAAAATGGTTTAAAAAGAGTCCCTCTGAAGTTTCACAAGGTTTATCTACTGGGCCGATACTGTTTATACTGGCACTTGACACTTGTTTAAGAAGATGGTGGGAGAAGAACCTACAAGTCATTGCGTACGCCGATGATATGATGATAATAATACCACCAGACTCGCGATGGACTGTGATAACGGCAATAGAAGAGATTAAAACTGGACTGGAGATGATTAATCTGAAAATAAATGAGGGTAAGACCGAAGTCATATTTCCCGGAGACAAAAAAGAAAGGAAAATATTAGGCTTTAGATTCACAAGAACAGCGACAACGAAAAGATCAATGAAAGAACAAATGGAAAAGTGTTACGCTCAAGAAATTCTTCCGTTATGGAACCACAACTGGTCGAAGATTAGCAAATTACCGAAAAAGACACAAATGCTATTGTTCAACTCGTTCGTATGGCCGAAGATGTACCAGTTCATCCCACAAGCGATCACGAAAGGAGAAATTGAGATACCATATTTAATTGAACTGGTTGGATCAATATTCAACAAATTCATTGAAAGAAAAAACAACACGAAGTGGTCATATCTGGTGCTGTGGAAAGTACCAAATATGATAGTGAAATTCTGCATGATAAGAGAAAAAAGAAAATATGAATTAGAAGGGAAAATAGAAGGAAAGAGATGGATTGTAGATAAATGGACGCCGATATCAACAGTAATGGAGAAATTTGGAACTTCAAACACAATTGTCGCGTACAAACCTGCCAGAACTGAAGGAGGGACAAAGATAAACATACAAATAATATCAACACAGAATATAAACAAACTATCACTATTGGTACCGGGTAAGACAACGGAGTATGAACTAAGCGTAATCGCATTACAGATGATAATACTGATGTATGGAAATGGATCGTACACGATAGAACTGGACCAACATGCAACTCAATATATGATGGGCTCATCGACTTATGCCAGAGCGATCAGGAGATTGATGATAACACCAGGAAATTGGCAGTTCAAATGGAATGAACAGAGAGACTGGGAAGGGGACATCAGTTTGGAAATACCCTTACTTGAGAAGCCACCCAACCTAATGGAACAAAATAGAATATTGAAAATGAAAGAAAAGAAGATGTGGAAAAGAATTTATGAACAATCTAACTCTACATTAAAATCGCTGAAACTTGACATATTGGAATACTTACCACCTCAGATAGTAAATACAGTAAATAACTTGGCACGACATTACAAATTACCAAAATGCTGTGGAAAAGAAATGGACCTAGATCACATTATGAACGGATGCACAAAAATTGAACAAGAATTTCCCGAATTGATAACAATTAGAAATAAATATGTAAAGGACTGGAAGAAGGAAGATGTTGACACATTGAAGAAAATCATAAACAAATTAAATGTAATGGAGAAAATTTTTATATCACTCATAGAAACGGTTGTTTAAATGACCGAAAGAGGGCAGCAAACGAACTGCTCAGTCATATGACAACTGTAATAGTTAACCTATGGGTCCAATAAAATTAAGTTTGAAAAGCAGATTCGGTCCTTCAAATCACTTAATTGTTGAGTTAATTTTTTTGTGTTTTAGCTGTTTAATTGTTAATGGATTTAATTTAACTAACTGAATTCGGATTATTGGCAGTGTCTTGTTCCATTAAATACAATTGACATCTTATAGTATCTCCAACTTACCCACAACATGACTGGTTATCGGGATCATAAATTTGAGGTAAATTTTTATTTCTGTAATTCATTTTTTTTACTTTTAGTTAATTTAGTTGATTTCCATGTTAATTGTCTCTTCTATGTCTTGGGTAATTTTATCTTCTTTTAGGGTTCTCGTGATGATTATGAGCAACGATTGGCTAATTCGACTACACTTTATGTTGGTAATCTCTCTTTCCACACCAAAGAAGAGCAAATCTATGAATTGTTTGGAAAATGTGGAGATTTGAAAAGAGTAATTCTTGGACTAAATCGTGTCACTAAGACACCTTGTGGATTCTGTTTCATTGAGTAAGTACCTTATTCTTAAATTCATGTCAACCTAACAAGTTATCCGACATTAATTATTTCCTCATTTTACCTTCAGATATTATGACAGAGAAGATGCTCACAATGCTATTCGTTATATTGGAGGGACTCGTTTAGATGAACGTATCATCCGAACTGATTGGGACGCGGGTTTTATTGAAGGGCGACAATATGGACGAGGTAAAGCTGGTGGTCAAGTTAGGGATGAATATCGAACTGACTATGATCCAGGTAGAGGTGGATTCGGTAAATACATTGCTAAGAAAATTGAAGGTGCACCAGGACCATCAATGGAAAAAGCTTAAATCTTTTTTGCGAACTTAATCATTTTAAGGACAAACCAACCATCACAATCTCATTTTTTGGAAATGTAAATAAACGACTTGAGGAATTAACTTTGATATAAACCAAACGAACCAGATATTCCACTTCAACTCTTAAAAATTGAACCGAAAGACCAAAAATAAATGTCGAAACTATAATTTATACACTAATATCTAATGTTACAAAAATATTTACAATATAAACTTTTATGGTCAGAATACTAGATGATCGTTCGGCCAATAATCGCTGTGTGGTCTGGTCCAAGGCAAACTTTCCTTACATTGACCGGTAGATTGATCTGAGAATTGAGATAAAATCAAAATTAGATTGTCGCTTATGATTAATTATCTGACTTACTCTCATTGGGAAATAACGATCGTTTTTATCTTTGAATCCTAAACAGCCAGAACGATTTTTGCCCCAACAAAAGAGATCACCGTTACCTAGAAATAAAAATTTAGAACAATAATCAATCTAAGTAGATAGAACTTTGGAATCAACAATCTAATGAAAATTAACAATATACTTACTATTAATTGCTGCCCAGCGACTAAAACCAGCGACTAGAGAGATCACTTTGATGTCGGGATTCACGTCATTACAACCGAAAAGAGGCTCGGGGAGAAGAAGAGGAATCGATGAATCATGAACATTCGGGCCTTGGCCTAACAATCCGAATCCCCAAACATAGACTTGACCTTTATCTAGAAATTTGCAATTCGACAAAGTATCAATTAGTAATTAATGCATTAAAGTTATTCTCAATGTTGACTAACCATTGATTAGACCACAAATACTTCCTCCCGCTGCAACTTTAACGACTTTTCCAACAGAAACTGGTAACCTTTTCGGAACATTGACCTGATAATCGTCAGTAATCAGGCGGAATTGAGCATATTCTGAACTACCCCAGCAGAAAAGATCACCTTTATCTAGAAAAAAGAAAACAGATTATGAAGCGAAATTATCAATTTAAAGTAAGTTCTAATTCTTACCACTGCAGGCCAATGTTCCATCGGCAAAACTTGATATTTCGACAATCTTTTCACCCTCAATGTCCCCGCAAACTTTAGTTGGCGTAGAGACACTTCGATAGCCCGTTCCTGTCTGACCATCGGCACTCCAACCACAAGCATAAACCTCTCCAGATTTCAATAGGAAAAGTGTATGATCTTGACCACAAACAACCTAACAATCAATTAATTAAAAATTAATACGATTTTGCTTCTCAACTAATCACTTGACGCAACCTTTTCGACTTGACCAGGTATCCCTTTTATTTCATTGATATGAGAAAAACGGTTTCTCGTCTTATCCTTAATCGGAACACCACACTGACCATAAGAATTGTTTCCAAAGCTATAAACTAAATAAAATGAAATTAAATTCATCATATTAATCAGTCGAATCAATAATCAGATCAAAGTAAATACTTACGATTATTATTATTCATTAAAACTATCGTATGAGCTCTTCCACATGCAACTTGCTTTACCTTCAGATCAACTGTATTAGCTGGAAAATTAATGGCCGCTGGTTTAGTGATGAGCACCAACTCCTTACAGCTCATTAAGTGATAACCAATTTGATTGTCAGTGTTGACACCACATCCAAACAATTGAGTTTGACAAGATTGAGCCTCGGCCGCAAAGACAGTGAATCCATGGCCACAGGCGATATCTTTCACTTTACAAGAACCAAAGATGCTTAATTTACGAGGTGTTGCACAAATTGTTTTCTTTGAATCGCCAGTGAATGAAGGTATTCCAAGAGCCCCAGTTTTACCAAATCCCCAAGTAAAAATTCTGTCATGCAATTGGGACTTTTCTTCGGATTTAAATTGGAAAATTGGCAAATCTTGTTTTTCTTTCAAAAAATCGTCCATTGTCATTGTCCAAGCTTTTTGTCTTCGCTTGTAAAGCCACCGAACTGAACATTTATTAGAACAATTCAATCTAATCACCGGTGAAATTGAAGAAAACATATCTACTTCAAATCAAAAGTTTCGATTCAAAACAATGTCAACAATTAAATAAACAAAATGTAAATTAAATACAAATTTAAACATGTGGTTAAGTTGCATCACAAACCAATGGATATTCTAATATGGATACAATATCGAGTCTAGTATTCTACGTACAAACTCAGCGTGAACAGCTGATACCGATATGATACTTGAATATCGGAAATGATAAATGAGCAAAACAATCAATGAACAAAACATTGATTGTTTGTTTCAATTTGAGAAACAATTTGAGTTCAATTTCAATCACTAATTGATCAAAGTAAAAGTGTTCATATTATCAGTTTTCATTGGAATAGAAATCAGGTATGAGTTTTTGTTCGAAATTGCCGCTTTTTTGTCTCCATCTGTTTTCACGTTTCCAGAAACATGTTTGCATTTAAATCTCGTGTTAGAAGTTTAATTTTTGTGACTGATTGTTAATTGTTTTTTTTTCTTTTATTTAATTGTCCAGTTTTCTTTTTCTTTTGATTGACTTTGATTTCTATTGTGTATCATGAAGAATAGAGATGTAAAGAAGAAAAAGCCTGATGAGGCTGTTAATCCATTCGACGTCCGGATTAATCGACAGAAACATAAGATTTTAGGTCGGCGTGTTATGAAATGGGAGGTTGGAAAACCGCTTCAGTCTCGTCATGCTGGAATTAAGAAAAGGAGAGAAACCTTATTACCAGAATTTAGGAATCTTAATAAATCTGGCAAAGGTGTGATAGACCAACGTGGAGGTTTGACATCGAGAAAAGCTAAATTGTATCAGAATGTAGCAATTGATGGTCAAAGGGAAACCAATCTAACTCACAAAGGGGAACAACTTGACGATGAAAGGCTTAATCAGCCAGTTAAAGGTTTGATTCTAATTTGATTAGTTGTTTTCAATGATTATTAATCTTTATGTGTTTTCTTTTCTCAATAGATGACGATGATGATGAAGAATTTGATTTACTTAGAAGAGGAGATTATGTTGAAGTTGCTCATTTCGGTGGTGGAGAATCTGGTGCTCCTTTATCTTCAGAGGATTTTCTTCAACAAGTTATGGTGGATAAAAGACAGAAACAATTGGAAAAAGAAGAGAATATTAAACTTACAGAAGAACTTGACAAGAATTGGTCAACCATAAGAAATTTGATTAAACATAAAGGAGCCAAAGATGAATCAAATATGGGAGAAACTGAGGATTATGATATTTTCCTAAACCAATTAATGTTTGGAAGTGATGACCAAAAAGCTACTGTTTCCACTGTTAAATTAACATGTGAAGGAGTGAAAGAAGCAGATAAAACACCAAGTCCCAACGTGCTAATCATTGATTATCTACAGACTATTATGACAACAGATGATGTAGACATAATTTTAAAACAAATCGACAATTTATTGTCAATAGAAGTGAAAAGACTGAACTCAACTGTGGTTAAAAAAGCCTTTAATTTACTTAAAGCTCCAGAGATGCGAAAATGCTCCTTGAAATCTCTTGGAATTTTAATGTTTTTGTTGACTTTTGTCGAACTGAAGCAACAAGTGCTGTTGAAACTGATCAATTTTCTAAGAGTCTTGAAATATGATTCTATCGACGAGATTGCTAAACGTTTATTGGTTTGTGATGTACTTAATTCATCTTTTCCTGATCATTTTTTCCCTGAAATCATCGCAAGTCTTCAAAACATCCTCATACTTTTCGAACCTGTTTATGCATCAGTTTTTATTCCATCTTTTTCTTTTGAAAAAATTGCCAGTTCAGAGATTTTGTGCTGGACCGAGGACATGGATTTCGATTGTCTACCAGAATTTACATTTCGATCTGTTTTCAAAGATGAAATCAGTAGTTCCAGTAAAAGAAAGTCCATCATTTTCACTGCTGTTATCAATCTTATTGAAAAGATTTTTGCAAAATATTCAAATCTTGATGCATCTCAGGCCATTTTCTCTAGAATGATGCCGATCCTTGTTAATCTACAAGAGAAATTCACAGAACCAATGTCCCAAAGATTATTTGGTTTGATAGAAAATCTCAATAATAGCAAGCAATTACACTTCTTAGCATTTGAGAGGAAAAAACCAGTAATGTTGAAAATGCTCGATCCAAGGATTGGAGATTCGCGACGAAGAGATGACAAGAAGAAATTGCAAAGAGTAGTTAAACGAGAATTCAAGAGTGCGGCCAGAGAATTAAGGAAAGACGGTGCCTTCATTAGGGATATTGTTCTCAAAGATACAATCGCCAAGGATGAGGCACGAAAACGAAAGGTCAAGAAACTGATGTCCGAAATTGCTCAAGAAAGATCAATGTTCAAAAAAGCAAGATAAATCAACTCAATTCTATTGAATCCAATTTGTTGTTATCTTCAATTAAGACCATGTAAATAAGGTTTGTAACTTCAACTGCAAATGGATCATTTGTCATCAAAATCTATTAAAATTCATCTTGAGTTACATTTCGTTGTATTTGTCAATAAATTTATTAATTGTTTTACCTTTGACTTTGAATTTCACTCTCCCGGTTAATCATCAATAAGTCTCATTGAGTTAATTGGAAAAAAACCTGATGAAAAAAGAGTTTTTTTTATTTTCTTTATGTTTAATTGTGTGAACATTTAAATATTATCTGGTCTTGGCTTATTTTCGGTCGATGGGCCTGGTGTTTGAGGACTTGCGGTGAGACTTCCTGGTGATCCCATTCCTGCTCCAGATCGACGATTCAATAGACTGTTGAAGAAACTCTGAAGAACTCCTTCTCCGCCGGGACTAATCTTGGTTCCATCGAGCTGAAAAATGGAGAAAAATTAAATGTTGAGAGAAATTTGTTCAACTAAATAACAGAGAATAAGAAATTACCTGAACTCCAGGTAAAGGTGAAGCTCCGGTTATTCGTCTCTCCCCTGTTTTGGGTAACATTGGAGTTCTAAGCGACGGAGGTGTTGAGGTGATCGCCGTTGGTACATTCTGGTTAAGCTGAACTTGCATTTTCGATAAGAACATTTGATCTTCTTCAGCCGTTAATTCATTATCTTTTTGAGATGTTTGCCTTGTCTCTGGTTTGATGATTACGTCGTTATAGTTATCATCAGGTAGACACGATTGAATATTCTCATAAAGAATCGCAATTTTCTTCTCATTGTCCCATCCTGACGGGATGAAAACGGCATCTTTTTCCACCACCAAGGCCGGAGTTTTGAACGGTAAACCATAAATTCTGTGAACAAGATTCTTGTAAAGTAAATCACAATTTTTGTTCACTTTCGCTGAGACATAAAACAAAGACGCTCCATCTGAAAGAAACAATCACATCGATGTAATCAATTAGAGTTCACCTGATTGGTACCGATTCCACTTACATGTGAGACAAAATTTGCGAACTGCTTGTTGGATGAAATCAAAATGTTCCTCTTTGTAATCATAGTCTTTCTCCAAGACTGACATGTAATCGGTTTTGGTTATAACCACAATCACATCAAGGCCTAAATTGTTGGTTAATACATTTTCTCCGAGAATCTCTTCACCAATTCCACTGTTACTCAAAGTTGATTGATCCATTTTCTCATTAATTGATTCACTTCGAGATTTAGGAGCAGATACAAGTCCCTCAATCTCATCACCCGGAGAAATGTATTCACAATATCTTTTTACAACTGATCTTCTATATTCATTCATTTTCTCTGGTTTCATGTTCAACCTTTCGATGTGGCCCCCGAATACATTGGCCCATTTCTCAAGAGAATCAAGGATATTCCATGGCTCGGACATCGAAGCGACCAACATCAATGTTGTGTGGGGAAAATTTTCTTCATTAACAGGAAACCGAAGCAAATTGGAATGGTAAAGATCACCATCGAGAACCCAAACACTTAATCGGGTTTGTTCATCTCGATATTCATCACGAACCAACAGATGATGATACTCAAGGCCAGAACCTTTCTTAGGGTCGTCGTTTCCTTGGATCTTAGCGATCAGGGAGGTTTTCCCCGTTTCATTATCGCCAAGAACCAGAACCGCTTTGTTGGCTGGTAGTTTGTTGGAAGTCGGTGTACTGTTGCCGTTATGTAAGATGGAAAGGACCAAGTCCATGATTGTTTCAACAATTAGACGGAGAAAAGAATTGACAGTAAATTCTAATTAAATTTTAATTCTGTTAAGCTCACAGAGCTCACGATGAATCTGACAAACTGACACAATTAATGAGTAAACACAATAAACAATTTCCACTAACAGATGATGAGGAACAAGAAACTTAAACATATGATTGTGGGCGCGAGAATCAATCGTTGATTAACTTAATCATTTTCTAATTGAATTTAAAGCGAAAATTATTCTTGTTTTTAATCGGTTGGAAATCAATTCGGATTCTATTTTGATTGGAATTGGATTCGTAAAAATGATTAATTTGTCTCTGATTTGGTTATTTTTTAAGTTTAAGATTAGAGGATGAATTTGAAATTTAATCAACTGTAAATACAATGGTAAGTAGTAGTTTGATTTTTACAATTAAAATATCATTCATGAGGTTAAGGTTGAAATTTGTTGATTTGATGTTGATGGTAATGGAACAACTTGATCTGAATCAATTGATTGTTGACTGTTTTCACAAGATGAGGATGGACCAGGATTAGATGAAGAAGTTGATCTGGAGGCCTCGTCTTTTTCCGAATCTGAAGATAAGCCTTGCGATTTTTTTTCAGTGGATTTTTTATCAGAATCCGAATCATCCTCCTCGTCACTTTCATCTTCACTAAGATCAACACCGAGCCAAAGGCTTTTCTTTTGTTTCTTAATCGCAACATCCTTGTCGAATGTTTCTTTTCGCTTCTCAGATGATTGAGAAGCGTTTGCACTTTTAAGTCCATGTTCCAAAGCTTCATCCACTTCCTGGGGAATTTCATCCTTATTCTTGAAGTAATTTGGATCTTCGAACATAATCTTAGGCGTTTGTTTCATTTTCTCAAGCTTTTCCTTTCTCTTTTTCTCTTTTTCCTCTTCATCCTTTCCTTTCTTCGAAACCCATTCTTTAAACCTCTTTTCGGCATTAATATCTCGTAAACGGCGACCACTCAAATCACGACAAGCCTCCTTGTTTGTTGTCTTCTCAATTTGTGCACCGATAGCTCTCAACATGGAGCCAAAACCACCTTTACCTCCGACAAGCAAATGATGCATCGTAATAGGAACCAAAGATCCATTCGGATAATTGTCAGTCAAAGTCTTGGCCTCGGTGAGTATTTTCCCATTTAAATACAATTTGAATGAATCAATAGGAACTCCCTACAATCAACAAATACATAAAAACAAAAATAAATTAGTAAAAAGCTAATACATGTAATGTACATGAGCCAATATAGACAAAACAAAGACAGAAATAATAACAGACACTCACCTCATTGGAAGCAAAATTTTGGTACAAATCCTCAATACAACCATTCTTATTGTTGTAATTAATTATCCTGCTTCGTCCATTAATACATTTATAAATTATTTGAAACATTTTGAAATTAAATTAAGCGAAAATAACGTAAACAAATTAGTTAACAAGATGACAGAAAACCAATTTTGTTTTCAACAGACTTTTAGCTGAGCTGAGAGTCTCAGCCTGAGACTCGGCTGCTGATTAAACAGCTCGAGAATCAGTGAATTTGAGTCAAACCATTAATTAAGATCAACGATACAAAAATTAACTTTCTAAATATCGATAGAATTTTTCACCATTAAAGGACAATTTAATTATCTGAATTCTCGTGAAAACACTTTGAACTTTAATTAAATTCTGAGAAATAACAAAAATATGAATTCGTTTATGGCGGCGGCTCGAAGACAGATTATTGCATGGATGAAGAATCGATTAGCTTGACAATTAAAACTTGATTTTACTTGTAATCGACAAGAGCATCTTCCATGTTTGACCAAAAATTAACGCTGATTGGTTCTTAATAACTGCCGGTGAAGTGCCAGTGGTTATTGTTAGTCAATGTTTCGTTTGTCATCGCCTTAATCGACCTTTCGACTGTGATCGTTTTCCCGAAGAATCTGATCGTTCTAAAAGCGAACTCGGAATTTTCGATTTGTCCAGTTTTTCACCGAGAACACTCGAGGCAATGGAAGTTAAATCGAGTGAGAAACTGAGTTTACTCAGAAGTGAACTGATACTATTTTTCTTCTGACTTTTCATCGACCGAGCTAATTCTCCAAGTTTTGATAGGAATTCTTCGCCAATGATGGACAGTTTAATTATCTGAACTCTCGTGACGACACTTTGACCTTTATTCGACTTTTTCTCTCGTTCGTAAGCCTCGGAAAGTGACCGAATCATGATCGGCAACCAGATCATCAGTTTATGTCTCATGTCGAGTAAAAGGTTAAATTTAACATCGTCAGAATTCAAAAGTGAAATGATTCTGACCGAATCATCATGGAAAGTGTTGATTAATTCTTGATAATCATGCTGATCATGTTGGGATGATGGTTCTCTATCAGCTGATTCAATAACTTCCCTGGTCATTGAGAGATGATGTTTCAAAAAGATCTCACTAACTTTATCAATCAGTAAATCTTCATGTCGATTAATATCAAAACAAATGCTCTCAATAATGACCAGTGTGGCCATTAAACGCTGGACAACCACTCGATCTAAATTCTTGGCAGATAGTTTATTGATTAATTCAGTTTCCGGTTGAATTTTATCATCGAAAGTAACTGTCTCAAGGTCGAAAAAGGTCCAATAACAATTCCAAACCTCTTCCGATTTACGATCAGTCAATATTTCGATCAGAAGCTTTTGCAAATATCTACATCGTAGAATGGACAGTCCATTGATAGTTCGTATTAAACGAAATGTATTTAATTGCTCAGACGAAGATGAAAGTACATTCGCTAAAGATGAACTGGTCAGTTTGGAAGCAAAAGAATCGATCGAGTTGAATAATAACCTTATCGATTTATCCATTGATTCTTCGCACCAATCTTCCAGTGTGACGAAAAAATATATTGTACATGCTAAAGTATCGTAGAAGAATCGATTCAATTGATTCCCCTGAAATGAGAAAAATAATTGATCAGAAATTCATGAAATGGTCTGATTGATTGAATTCTAAGGCAACAATCAATCGATTCGTCCAGAATTCGTATTGAAGACTCACCACTTTAGTGCCGTGTTTTTCAAGATCTCTTGATAGCTCATCGTTGATTGATTTATCTACAATCTCTTGAGCTTGAATTTTCATCATCTCGAACCATTTATCCTTCAGGTTATTGGGAAACACTTTCAATAAACCGAGGCCAAGACAATGATCTCGAAATCTAAAATCTTGTCCCAGCCTCAAATCTCTTGGGGAGATAGTTACTTGGGCGAATGATTTAACTTGTATTTGGTTAATTGCTTGACAAGTAATCGCTGCAATCGAGCTCGGTAGCAATAAGGACATTTCATCATCATCAAACAGCTGATCAACCTGTTTGGATTTTCCAGTTTTACCCAAAGAATTTATCAAAATGGTGAATAGGCTATTTCTCAGAAGAGGAATTTCTCCGGTTGAACTTTTGGATTTCTCTTTAATCTTTTTAGGTCCTTCTATTTCAATTCGACGAACATAATCAGGAGAAAAAGGAATATTAGTACCTTCATTAATCTCTTCGATCAAGCAACCACCAAATAGCAGATCTAATCTTCGAACGAAAAAATAAACATTCAACATTCGAAGATGATTTTTCTTTGGTTCTTTTCTCCATTCGCTAATTACATCTTCAATCACTCGAACAGCAGATCGATTGAACAATCGTTGTACTTTGATTTGACCACAAGAACCAATAATCGACGCAATTGACTGGCACCAATGACGAGTGATAGTTTCCTGAAAGTTTTCCAATGCAATTATCAGAACGGACCAAGAAACGTACGAACCAACATTCTGATTGAAATAGGCGAGAACGACACTGGACAACAACTGATTAAATTTATATCGAAATCCATGGTTAATATATAATCTCTCATATCGAGCAAATAATCGTAGCAATTGAATAACCTCATGATAATTAGCGTAATCTTTGTGTTTCTCAATGAGATTTGTCAGCATGGGCGCGATGATTGATCGATACAAATCAAATATCTCATCGGCTAAGCTGAAGTTAATTTCTCTTAATTGTAAAGAGAAATAGTTTTCATAATTTCGCTTAGGGTCAGATGAATCAATTGAACATAATAAAGAAATTAATAAACTTCGAAAAAAAATCTCATCAGCTGATCTTCTACCGGCCGATTTTTCTTAACCAGTTTTCTAGAATTAGGTGATGATGTTGATAAAAGTAATGAGGCTGACGGTTGATTAGCTTGAATAAGCAATTTAATCTGCTCAATTAACATATCACCAGCAACACAATGACAGAGTAAAACATTATCCCAATAACCAATGTTGATTTGAATTCGATGTTGATTAAGTAACGTTGATGCCGGAATATAAAACAATGAATGAAAATCAATTGATGAATAAGGTAATTCTGATGATTTACCTTTACATTTAAAGATTAACGAGTGACAATGCCAAGTGATTAAGTGTCTAATTATTTTACAATGAATTGGGATCATTGACAATTTATCAATTGGATCAGCGAATCGGGTTGATCCCCAAACCATAATTAAATCAATCCTACCAACAGGATAACCACTGGAATCAATTAAATTGGTTGAAACTGGAGTTTCAATTGCTGAGATTGTGTTTAAAGGTAAAGAGGTTGATCCAATTTTCAGATCAACGGTTGATAATTTAGAACCCAATTTATAATTAATCACCGAGAGTAAATCTCTCCAACCATAAAAACAATTAGTCGATGATCGCGATTGTTTCAAGGATTTAATTGCTGAGATAAGTGAGGCTGATTTACTATCCCAAATATCAACAATTACTCCTCTATTAGATGTAACCAAATCAGCTTTAACTGGGACGATTACTTGACTATTCCAACTTGGATTGTGTTGGTTTTTAATCACTTTTGATTTGACAAATTTAGTTGTATAAGTTGATGGTGATCTCGGTGTTGGTGGCAAGACCGACGGATTAAGCAAATAAGCAATGAAATAAGGATTAACCGAATCGTTCGCACTCGTCGAAGGCAAATCGTGAGCTCTTTTAATCCAACATCGAACCGAGGGAGTGAAATTTTTGTTCTTTCTATTGAGAACTGATCGTTCTAATTGCTTGAATTCCTTTTGATTAATATTGAACACTTCACGAATATAACGTAACATACAATCTTTATGGGAATTGAATGGAGACTCTGTAATCTTTAATCCACACGAAGAATGAACCACCTCAATCAAATGGATCACCAAGTTTTCCTCGTCCTGATCCGAGATCGTTAATCCGATTGATTTGACAATCTTTCTCTTAATCTCATCGTCAGTTAATTGTTTTCGTTTAGGTTTAATTGTCTTTGGTGATTTGGTCGATTTTCTTGATCTTTTCCCTTTTCAGACATAATTTAAAAAAAGATCAATCAATTACTCGTCTCGATTAAGGTAAACTAAATCAATCAAGGATTCGCTATCCAAATAGTGTTGATTGTCAGCAATTAGTGGCTTTTAATTAACTCTCAATTAGTCAAGATAAATTATCCTCTTCTAATTATTCAAAAATTATCAAATCTTAAACTTCAAGTTTCAAATTGTTTAGTTTTAATTGTGATTAAATTGTAACAATCTAAACAATGGTAACTATTGATTATATTTACAAACTCAAGTCTAACTTTTGATAATCAATCTGATTGAATAATCTGATAATTTAATCATAACAAGTTGATTTACTAATTGATCTTTGATTTTAGATTACTAATTAATCGGTAGACAATCAGTTAATTCAAATGATTAAATAAATAAAATAGTAAACAAAATAAATGAACAATTAGATAGTTGAAAATGTGAAAAGTTAATTTAATTGTTGAAACGATGAAACAATTTATTAAATTGTCGACCAATCACCGAACTGATCAACCAATTGACTCGTTGGTTTAGTTGATTTGTTAATTGTTCACCATTTGGACCCAAACAATTAACTTCTATCAACCAATAGATAGGAAAAAGATTCTAATCATTACTCAATCATAATCAAGATAGAAAATCAATTTAATCATCTTTCTTTTTTTTCTGGTTTTCTCTTTGTCATTTTCTCTTTCGACAAAACCTTCCCTTTCTATTTCTCTGTCTTCATTTACTTTCTCCTTTTTTCCTCTTTCCGGCAAAGTTTCTTTCTTTTTCTCTTTCTTTTATTCTGCTTTTTTCCTGCTCACAACTCTCACTCTCTTTCTCCCTCTCATGTTGTGTTTCTCTTCATTTTTTTAGTTTCTTAATTAGTCTCTTTCTCTCTCTCTCTCTTCTCTCTCCTTCCTCTCTCATATTTGTACAATTGTGATTAACATTCAACCGATATTTTTGATTCTGTTTTAATTCACTTTAATCATGGTTAGTACATTCGATGTAACTGAAACTAAGCCCGATGATTTATCACCTAAAAGGTTGTGCCTTGTCTGTGGTGATACTGCTTCTGGCTTCCATTACGGAGTTGCCTCTTGTGAAGCTTGTAAGGCTTTTTTCAAGAGAACTATTCAAGGTAATCAAATTCTATTCTTTTTATTTCAAATTCTATTCTCCACTTTCAATTATCTCTCATCTATTTTCCATTATTCTGCTTATTTGGTAATCGCAAATGATTCGGTCAGTTATTAGCTATCGATGGAATCTCTTTGCTTGGTCATCAGTTTAAGAATAAGGGAGATGCTTCATTTTTAGAAAGTGTCTCTTTTTATTGTCTCTGTTTTTTTCTTTTCTCTTCTTCTTTCTTTCTGTCGATGTATGTTACTGTTATACAGTAGTTTTTGTCTGTCTATCTTTTTTCTTCTCTTTTTTGTTTATATATTTACTGTATTTGTTTACATTTCTTTCTTTCTCTCTTTCTTCTTTTGCTCCAAAGGAAACATCGAATACACTTGTCCAGCACAAAGTGACTGTGAGATAAACAAAAGACGACGTAAAGCATGTCAAGCCTGCCGATTTCAAAAATGCCTTCGAATGGGTATGCTCAAGGAAGGGGTTAGATTAGATAGAGTGAGAGGAGGAAGACAAAAGTACCGACGGAATGCAGAAAGTCCATATGCTGTTGCCACTTTACCTCCGAAAAATACTACACTAGAGGGTAGGTCACTAGAATACAAAATGTTGGTCACTAGTGAGAATATCTCTTGACTCATCCTGGTACCAGTTTCTAACTTGTCATACATGTTTCGTTTCTATTGGGACATTCTATTTTTGGCTTCTCATTATTAATTTCATTTAGAAAATCTCAGCATCTTTTTCTATTCTAAATCTTCTCTCCATTTATGTCTTACCTTTCTCTCTCTCTCTCTCTCTCTCCAACACTTCCTCCTTATTCTACTTAGAAAACAAATTTGTCACTGCTTTAATCTGTTGTGAACCTGAAACTCTGCTGGTCAGTGACTCAACTTATAAAGATCGATGGACTGCCTATTCGAAATCACCGAGTGATAAAACTGTTTGTATATTAGGAGATCTGGTTGATCGTGAATTGGTGGCGACAATTGTTTGGGCCAAACAAATACCTGGTTTCTCAGATCTTGCTCTCAATGATCAAATGAAATTGTTGCAAAATAGTTGGGCCGAGATACTTTCGCTTTCCTTGGCTTACAGGTAGCTTAATGTTTACATGTGCTCAAATGAGGTTGACATAAATATACTATAAGAAAAATCTCAAAATGTTGATTGTTTATTTGATCAATTTCTTAATGTTTTCAGGACTCACCAGCATTTCTCATCATCATGCTATTCTGCTTCCATGCCTTTAAAGCAGCTCATTTTCGCCAGTGATTTTGTGATGGATGAAACACAATCTAAACAAGCCAAAGCGGAAGAAATGTTCAACTCATGTGTTAAACTGGTCAAACGATTGAATCAATTACGTATAGCGAAAGAAGAATATCTTGTCCTTAAGGCTCTTCTCTTGACAAATGTTGGTAAGTATTGAAAATAAGAATCAACCGATTCGTAAATGAAAGTAATCATGGTGATGATGGAGAGAAAAAAACTTCTTTTTATTGTGTAAATTAGATTTCATTCAAAACAAGTCAAGGTTCCGTTTTTTATTTCGCTTCGTTTGGTTAGTTTTCATTCATTCATCGTCAATACAATTTAAAACAGTTGAAACATTTACCTGTATTCTGATAGTTTCTTCTATTATTATCCAATATCGGTGTCATTATTTAAACATGAAGTTTCCCCTCACTTTCTCTCTCTCTTTCTCTCTTCCATAAACCTGAAAAATGTTCTAATAACGATATTGAAAATAATGATGTGAATGTATTGTTCAGATTAACAGGTTAGTGTTTGCACAATTTTTACCTGTTCTTACCTTGATTGTGTTTCATGGTTTTGACTGCGCTCTAAGTTATACAATATTTACCTCAGTTCGGATAATTGAATATCGATTATCTCTCAATATATATAATTATTATAATTGTGATGAAAAGTCATCACGATCTGATAGATCAAAGTATCTTTTTGCCACATAGATACTTACACCAACAAGATAGAGAAAGAGAGAGGGAAAGAAAGACTTTAATCACTCATTACATATTTCACCCATTTTCATTCTCATTTTCTATCCTTGTTTATACTCCATCATCATCATCATCATCATCATCTTCTACTTTAATGACTACTATCTCATTCTCTCTCTCTTTCTCTTCATAAGATATTCTCATGGTTTATAACGTTGCCATTTCAAATTTACCTGAGATTCTTCCTCATCAGATTTCCTTTCTTTCTCCTTTCTATCTGTTAAATTAAGCAAACATGATATTCTTGATTATATTGTATCCTCATTATAGTCAATTCAGCCTTAGAGATTAACTAAACTCTTTTTCTTGCACCTAATTATATCTGAATAATATTCTAGGTCATTTTTTTCTCAATTATTGGAAACAAACAAGACTAGTGATAAATAGTAAAATCCTCACATTAGTAGTTTGTGCTTATACTCATTCATTTAATTTCCATTCAATATTTAATCATGTTTCTTGGTGGAAAACTAAAACAGCACATTCATCGTGAATGCTTTTTATATTGTGCGATGATGATAATCATCTCTAAGTGTGAGGCGAACAAAATAATTTATAAATTTGCTATTTAACAATAACAATGAATTTTGATTCGGTTGCCAACAGAAAAAAATGGAGAGAAAGGAAAAATTAAATGTTCCATGTTTTTATTTTACTTAAATAGAGAAAATCAAATCTTCTCATGATCAAAAGAAACAGAATTTCTAATCAGATTTTCTTATTACAATTAAGTAATTAATTGTCGATTTAAGACAATCAAATTTTCTACCAAGACTCACATAGTATTTTCATGAGAGTAAATATCGTTCTCAGTGGGTTAACTTATTCCTATTATTCTCTTGGTATGTGACATAGTTTCTTTTCTTCGAATTTCAATATTTCGAACATTTTTCATCTTGATCATTTCATCTTCTCTCTTTTCTACTGCGCAACTTATCTTCTCTTTCTTTTCCTTTCTTTTCCGTTTCAATTGCATTTTCCATCTTCCTTATTCACCTTCAACTTTTTCGCTTCCTATGATTATTCATTCAATCTCCATGTTGATAATATGCCATGAATCGAGAGTCTCAGCTGTTGAAAGATTAGATTTTGATTCTTGAAATCGAGTTATTTACTTTTGTGAACCTCTCTCACTATCTCTTTAACATTAACTATTAATCCTTGTTGTTAACCACAATTAACATTATTATCATTCAAATTTCACTCAATTCTAAAGTTTATTTAAATCAAGTTAACTTGGAGATATGATAACAATTAAGTTACAGTGATGGAGAAACAAAAATATTGGATTGAATAGTTGAAAATAGCTCAATTTAGTCTGTGGATCAGTTGATGTTGTTGGATAAATTTTAATTATCCAAAGCTTATGAGATGAAAATTTGACTTGAACTTGGCTTATCACCAAAGATTATGTATTATGTTAATCTGTTTCCAACTTGTGATTAAGGATTAAGACGTTCAATCAAGTCAATTTGTCACAATAATCGTTCAACTAGATACTATTATTGAAACGGTCATCAAATTAATTTTGCTCAGCTCATTTGACAATCAACAGATCAATTGATTGAGAAATTGATTGTAACTTCTTAAATACCAATAAGCCATTTAGTTACTTTAATCAACAATCAACTTTAATATTTACAATGTAATTAACTAATTTACTCTTTTTGCTCTTCATCAAGGAAAAAACTCTCATGGTAGTTAACTAATTGTTCATTTCACTGTCAATCCTTTGCAAGTAGAAATGATTTACTCATTGACGTGACAGACTTTCTCTATTAGATTGTTGGTTAATCTCTCATCCCACTGATTTATATAATTTTCTCTCATTAATTATTTTATCTTTTCAATAATTATTATCGTCAAGGTCTCTCTATCTGTTGAGCCTAAGGACCTTTCTCTCTGGTTGTGGTAGTCACATTGATACAATTGTCTTCTCATTATCTTTCTCATCAACTTATATAATTTTCTACTCAATGATTAATCTAATTTTTTTTCTTATTATTTTCTCTTCAACAGATATTCAACTTGAGAATAGTCAATCAGTGCAAAAGCTTCGAGATACTTTGTTAATTGCCTTACAAGAATGTGTTTCAGCTCTTCGACCATACAACTCAGTTCATCACTTAAGTCAATTGTTGTTATGTTTACCCTTATTGAGACAAATCGACGGAGTAACTCGGCGTTTCTGGAATGGAATCAAATTAGAGGGAAGAGTACAAATGAACAAACTATTCCTCGAGATGCTCGAAGCCAATTTGGTCCGGTAGTCGATGACAATAATCAATCTACTCTCTAAGTTACCTGTTACTATTAAGATTATTGCCATATTTTTGTTAATAATATGAAAAAAATCCTTTTTTGTTTTCTTTTGTTTTCTTTTTTTCCCTCTAATTAAGTGCAATCTAATTAGAGGAAAAGATTTAAAACCGATAAACCATTTGAACTATTTACTATTTAATCTTGTTGACCCACAAAATCCAAAAAATTAAATTCAGAGAGATTGAGGAGAGATTGAAAAAGATGATCAAGTTTTAACTAATTAACTGTCAGAATAGTTAAGCGTACACACAATTAATTGTGATCTTGGATTTTAGATGATTACGATCTCTCCTTTTTCAAGCTCATCTCGTCACAAATTGAAAACCTCATCACCTCATCAACTCATCTATATAATTATCGCTTTCTCATCATCATCATCATCATCTTCATCTTCATCATCGTCATCACCAAAATTAACAATTAGGATACAATAATTAGACATTTTGAAAAAACAAAAGGAATGGTCAAAACATTGGATTACAAAACAACAAATAGCAATTGGATTGACAGGATACATTGAGAATGTGCATTTAGGATTCAATAGCAAGATGATACAATTGTTACCATGAATATCATGATGATCGTCATTCTTGTAAAATCTTCAACGACAATTTGTCTTCTCATCATCTTCATTATCATCTTCTCATCATCCTCTTCTTTATTTTCACAATCAAAAGCGTAACTGTTATAAAAATAGACACTATTTAAGAGGAAATTAAACTTCATCAACTTCGGCTTTTTCTATTCCCTCGTTATCTTCATCTTCATCATGATTCTCATCTTTTATCTGTTTCTTTTTGTTCTGTTATAATTTTGAAACAAGATCCATGAAGATTGTGATGGAAAACATTGGAAAGATATTATCACAGAGGAAAAAGGATAACAATCAGTTGATGAGAATTAATTTGAATTGTAAAGAAAGAGAAAAAGTTGCATCCATCATGTTATTGTTTCGTTGATGGTTTGATGATAATTTAATTTAGTTAACAAATTGTTTCAACTTCACTACTAATGATACGTTTTTTGGGAAAATTTGTTAATTGTAAACGGTAATCAAGTTTCACTTAGCTTAACCCGATCGTTACTCTTATTGTTGATTAGCTGTGATTTATCAACTTGGAGTAGTGATTTTTAATCAAGAATTTTTTGCTATTAATTTAATTACTTCTGTTAAAGTGTCTATACATTAATGATTAAGTTGAAAACACTACAATGCAAAGTATTAGGAATTGATTAACTAATTGTGTTAATTGTTTCAAAGAAAACACCTTAATTGTAATTGATCCTTTTCTCTTTCTTTTCTCTCTCTCTCTCTCTTATTCATCCACTTTTCATCCATGTGTTAACACTAATCACACAGTTAATTAATTGATTAATAAGTATTATTATTTAAACCAATTGATTGAAAAGATTAACTCATTAATGATTTTCAATTGGTTTAAAGGATTTACTCCAGTAAATTTAGACAATTGATTGTCCAGTTGATCAACTCTAGGAAACTGGACAATATAAAATTAACTGTAGAAGAGACAATTAAATTGTTTCCTTCATTTTATCATCAACAGTTAATTTATAAACTGATTTAATTGTTTGATTGAAATTGCATTTAAACCCTAAACAAAGTGGGATGATTAAGATTAATACACAAGCAACCAAAACAAATTAAGATTAACACTGTATATTCACTGCCAAAAGAAATTAAAATCTGAATTGTAGATGATATATTTAACAAAGCAAAGAATTAATAAATTGTTGAGAATAGATTTTTTAATTGTTTCTAATTATTTCTGATTATTTTTGAAAAATAAACGAAAAGAAATTTTGATTGATACAAAATTGACTCGAAAATTGGAAACTAAATTAACTGGACTTAATTGATGATCGATTATCATCATCGTTATTGTGATTCAAATTTGATGACAATTACGGATAATAATTGGGAGGTAATCGAGTCAACGGATAACAAACAATCAATTAAATGATTAAAACTAATTACGAGTTAGCAGTTGATTAAATTTGCTTTCCAACCAATCATATAAATGAGATGATGTTATTGTTACAATTATTACACAGATGATTTTTTTCTCATAGAGATTTTTTCACATACAATCATCCTCATCATCTTTATCATCCTCATACTAAATGATAGTTTCAATGATGAGTCCTGTTTATATTGACCTATATGTGGATTTGGCAAGAGGATGAGGAGGATAAAAATTGATGCGGAGGATGAAAAGGGATGGAGATTCAGTCTCAGGTAAAGGGAATCCACAAAACTATGTTAACCAGTCAATTTGTGTAATTTTGATCAAATTGGACACGAAAATGAATGGCTTTCATCATCATCATCATCATCATCATCTTCCCTTTCATCCTCATCTTTTCATCTCGATCATCATCTGGGCTTAATCTCACAAGCACTTCCCATCAGTATTAATATGATCATTTGAATTATTATTATTATTGATTGGATTTTTGATTATCCTGTTTCCTAATTGTTGAATATGAAAATTTACTTTAAATATTTAAATGAGAAAATTAATTCTCCTATTAGATTAATTAGTTAACATAAAAACTATCATCAAATTAACTGTTAATCATTTAGTTAATCATGAACAATAATAATAACAATTTGCACCAATATTCAGATTGATAATTCATATTAAACTAATGATAGTTATTATCTGATGATTATTGTTATGATAGCGTGTTTATTTGATTGTGATGATATTCATGAGTATTAGTTGTTGTTATTTTGATTGTTATCATTGTGATTATTACAAGAAAAATGTTATTTGCGTGACAATTATATCAATTGGATTCTCAATGTTTTCCAATATTAACTTAACTCCCAGAATCAGAATCTTAGTTTGAAACTATTACAATTAATCATCATCATTATTCATCTTCTTTCCTGATACTGAATCTCAACTATGAAACAAAACAATCATCATGTTAATCACATCATGATGCTCACAATCATTAATAATAATAATTCAATAAACAAGAATTTCCAAAATTTCGAAAAAAGTTCTTTAAATATTATCCATCCAGCTGATCGACTGGAATAAAAAATCATCTCATCAATTGAGACCTGAAACAATTGAACTAAAGATCCAATCACAGGTAATTTCATAATACTCGGAATATTATCATTTATATCATTTAAATTACGACAATTATGGTAATTATCATAACAATAAAGTCGCAGTTAAGGATAAACTGTATTTGCGCATTTTTCCTATAAGATTATTAAGAAAGTTTTACCTTCGCATTTACCTGTCCAGGTAAAGCCTCCCACCCACACGAAGCTCCTCCTTTGATAACTTACCTTTCTCATCCTTATCAGTTACAATCTCATCTTTGGACTATGTTTATTATCAACACGGTGATTTAATTGTGATCATTGTTTTGACAATTTAAAACACTGATTATCATTGAAAGTTTTTCTCTTTAAATTGTTTCATTAAAAAATCATCTTGATTGATAATTACATGTGCATCATTATGCCTGATTGTTGTGAAGAGATTATTTTAAATGATGACAATTTAACTCAACTTTCAAGTGAATCAAATCAATCTAATTGTGATGTTGACTCGTTGTTATCTTCATCAACAACAATTAAAACTGAAAAATGTGATTCAAATATCAATCAAGATGGAGATTTGATTGATATGGATGAGGATAAACATGACGATGACAATGAAAATCGTGCCGATTGTGTTAATCCATTGGAAAATAAGGTTAATTGTGACAAAAGAGTTAAATCATCTAATTCTTCAGTTTTAAATTATACAATTGAAAATCTACTCAAATCATCAAGGAAATTATCATCTTCATCATCAACAACTTCATCCTCATCACCAACAACGGCGATTTTACAATCAACAATCACTGAAACGTCTTTAATTACTTATCCAGCTTATTATGATTATCGGAGATTTTTACCTTATTCAAATGGTAAGTCAATTGATTAGCCAAAAATTTAATCCACTGATTTATGTAATTCACAATCACAGAATTTTATAATAATCTAATTACTCTGATGATTTGTTTAGTTTAATTTGATTATGACAGTAAAAGGTTAGCGTGATGATTATAAATGGCAATTCATTATCAAGTGTTAATTGTTGCCTTTAATTTTCACCACAATTAAAGTTTATGAGGTTTGAAAAATGAGATAAATCAAATGATTTGTATGAATACAAAATGATCATAATAACACATCATTAATTGTAAACTAAATGAGTGGAAACAGATTGAGAGGTAAACAAAATGATTATCATCATCCCTAAACAATAATACTGCTAATCATTAATTTATAAATTGTTACAATCGGAAGTTTGATTTGGTGGTTAATCAAGTGAATCAACAGAGATCGAGAGAGAGAGATATATATATAATTAAAATTAGATCTATTTTTACGGAACAAAATCCAATCCACTTTTTGACCTCAATAGTAAAAGTGAAAGGTTAGTCCAGTTTTTGTTTTCTTCAAGGTGAGTGGTCAGTTTTGTACCTTTGTTGTTGAGGTCAACAAAATGAAATGAAGCAAAGCAAAGTGTCGGTCAAAGTGAGAGCCAAAGTAACTGGAACGAGAGATGAAAGGAAGATGCGTTTATCGGTTTAAAGGTCATAGGCTATATTTCCGCTCGTGACCTTAACCATATGAACCATTCACTTTGTCCAACCCTTCGTCATCATTAGTATCAAGGTAATGGTAATGATGATGGTCAAGAGATGCTTATTATTATATTTAGACAAAGGGTCATCTCATTCATCCCTTTCTCTTTGCTAACAAATTGTTTCGACAAAACGAGAGCAAACTTCAAGAGTATAATCATCCAACGAGATAATATGTAAACTCTTCCGGTTTTGCCACAGTTTTGATCTACTTTTGGGATAACTTCCGAGAGAGGGAGAGAGATAATAGAAAGATTCTCCTCATCATCCTAATCATCATCATCCAATCAGTTTCGAATGACCAACATCACCGATTCTCTGCTTACCTTATGACCATCGATTTACCTTCCGGTTTCCTTTTTTTATTCTTCTCTAATCTTCAATAATTTAAACATCTTTTAAATGATCATTAATTATTACGAGATTTAATGGCCAATATTTTGATCTGTCAGCATTGATTGATCTTAATAGAGTTTAAATTATGTTCATCATAATTCCCACTGATGAAAGATAATCTAGATTTAAATTGATTAGAATTTAAATTGAAATGAATTCGATGAACCTTGAAAAAGACAAAAAGAAAACAAGATTAATTATTGTTAAATATTCATGGGAATTGTGGTTTCGGTGGTAATTATCATTTGATTGACTGTTAATGGTTCTATTGGTCATGATTGACTGATTGTGATGATTAGACAATAGATTAACGTGTAAAGATCATGAGGATTAAACAAATTGTTGAGTTGATTGAAAATGATCCAAATGAAACCATTAACTTGGAACTAAATTTATAATAACAATTGAGCAAATCTAATCATTAGAATGGATTAAAAATGTTTTTCTATGAGAGTTAATTACGAGATAATTTGAGTTAATTTCAATTTTATTTACTTTCTTTTTCTATTCAGTTGAACAAGTTTGGAAATATATTGTTCCTCATCATCATAATAGTAATACGATTCACTCGAACGGAAATGGCTCAGGTCCAATTCGACAGAATCGAGGTCCTCGCCGACAAAGAACCACGTTCACCCACGAACAGACACTTCGACTCGAAATGGAATATCATGTCGCAGAATATATTAGTAGAGGCAAAAGATTCCAATTAGCTGATCTACTCGATTTGACGGAAAATCAGATCAAAATTTGGTTCCAAAATCGACGAGCTAAAGACAAAAGAATAGAAAAAGCCATAATGGAACAACAGTTCAGGTAATTTCAGATTCTCTATTCTGTCTCAAGTTCACCATTTTTCCGTTTCAATTTCATGATTGGAATGGAAATTGATTGAGTAACAATTTACTAGGAATTAATTGTAATTGATTTAATCTTTTCCTTTCTAATTTTCCAGACACTTGAGCTCATCTAATTTACCTAAACAAGTGAATCTTCCTAATTGTTCAACTTGTAGTTACACCAAACACCAATTTGAATCATCGATGGGGCCGAATGTACCTTCATCAATTCCCGTTAATTGTGACAATCATCAAGAATCTCATCTTGCTGTAAAAAAACACAAATTAAAAATTGAGGTTCCAACTGATGATAATTAAAACAATCGCACAATTAACTTTGCCTTAATCGCAAAAAAAAGCAAAATCAATTGATTCAAATTGTTTCCTTTTCTACCTCAATTGTCATGACAATATATTGATAATCAATTGATTGATTGAATTTGTTTAACCAGAGATTTTGAATAAACTTGAGATGACATTAATTTCCAATTGTTAAGTGTAATTATATCATCATTGTTATTAATGATTAAGATAATAGCGTGCAAAGATATTAAGGTGTCAATAGATTGTTGGGCGAACAATCAAAGTTAATTGTGAGTGTTTAAATACCTTGGATGGCGATAGGAACCAGTGGTGATTAAGGTGTGATCATCATCATGATTATTGTTATTACACTGATGATGATGTTAAACATGAATGTTCAGCTGAATGAATTAGTTTCAGCTGCCAGACTAATTTAGGTCCAATCGTGTTAAGACAATCACAATTTACCTTTTCTCTTCCATAGGATATAACTTGGAATCACCATTAATCCTTAATTGTCACGCAAACAATGATGGTTCACACTCCATAAACGTGGTTTATTAAACATTTAATCGGTTCAATTTCGGAGTAAATTGTAGACCATTTAAAACGCGATTTATCAAATTTACTTAGGTTGTGAATCGATTATGTTTAATGTTTATTCAAATTTATTTTCTTGATTTTAAATTTTAAATTTCATTTCAATCAATGTTAATATTTAAATCACACAAATAATATTGGAATTCAAATGAACTACATGTTTTTAAGGTGCAATTTAATATGATTCAATTGTGGCCGAGATTTTAGTTGATGATTACAATTTGGAAATTTCTCTTTTCAAAATTCATTTTGGTCATTCTAAATTCAGTTCATTGTCAACGGAGCAAATTCCGTTGATTTCCCTTCCAGTTTGTAATGTTTCCATATTGTTTCACAATAAGGGATATTATTAATTGTAAAGTGTTCGAGGGATATGATTTAATACAACAATAGCTGTAATCGAAAATAGTTTTCCAGAAAAAAATTCAAGATTATTGCTTAGCCAATTCAGCTTGAATATCTTTGATGAATGTCTATGAAATCAAGAAAAAAGAGAAAAATTGATTAGAAATTGGATTATGCTGATTGATTGATTAAGGATAGAAAATGGAAGCCAGAAATTACCTTCGGCTCATCGGTGGGTGCAAATCGCTTAACTGGAACTCCTTTACGATCGACTAAGAATTTGGTGAAATTCCATTTGATTCCGTCCGTAAGGAATCCTCCTTTCTTATGCTGTAACCATTTCCATAAAGGATGAGCATCTTTGCCATTGACATCGATCTTATCGTAAACATCCCATTCGACCTTGTTCTTGGCTACGAAGTCTTTGATGTCCACAGAGCATCCTGGTTCTTGATTACCGAATTGATTACAAGGAAATCCAGCTATTTTTAGACCTTTATCCTTGTATTCATTGTAGATCTCATTGAGTTGAGCATAATTAGCTCGGGTTAAGCCACAGTAAGTAGCGACATTTACTACAATTACCACGTCACCCCTGTTGAAGGAAATAAAGGAAACAAAAAATTCATTAAATGACGAGAAAATATTCATAATTAAATCGATATGGAACGAGGTTATCAATCATGATGCTAATAACAACTCAAAAGTTAGACTTTGATCCATGAAAACCTTGATGGTGTCATTACAAAGTGAGATCTGAATTATGATAAATAATGAACATTCAATTGATTAAGACATAAATCGATATTGAATGAAATTTCAACAAAACAAAGTCTTTTGATAAATTAAATTACACATGCGATGTTAACTTTGAGAGACCTTGGGTTAAAAATACTCAACAAAATGAAAAGCCAAATAGATTTTCATAGGATAATCTATGGAATCAACTCTAGTTATCACAAAGTTCCAATGAAATTCCTCGAAATTTAGATAAAAGAGAACAGAACTTAATTCTATTGACTGAATAACCCTGTGAGAGCACAATAAAAGTGTCAATTGGTCCGAAGCACATACTTGTATTTGTCCATTGAAACGTCTTTACCATCGAGGTCTGTGGCGGAAAATTCATAGAATGAATTTGCGTTTTTCCAAGCATTTTCACCGCTCATTGATGAAGCCTAAATGATCAAAGAAAAAGAAAAACATTAGAAAAATGATCTTGGTGACAACACAATCGGCCAGTTGATTAGTATTATTGTTAACATTCTTGATCACTAGTAAGAGTTAAGGCCAAATGATGAGCCAAACAAAGGACAATATAGAGGAAAATAAACCAGAGATGTTGTTAGAGTGAGAGGATAACAAGAAGATCATCTATTAGTTTGGATTAAACTGATTGATTCACATGATGGAACATCTGAATAGACATTGTTAATTGTTGCTAATCGAATGTAAATTACCAAGTGATAGAGAATCAGAGGAAAAAGAAACTGACAAATCCTTCACATAGAAATCAAGCATTTACAACAAGAGACAAAGGAGATTAAGTTGAAACAATCAAATTGATTTTCTTACAAAAACTCGTTGGGTTGACAGAAGGCCAATTGTGATCGATGGCCACAAAAGTGATTTATTAATTAAACGTATGCTCACCATTTCACTGTTTAAACGATTAGTTGATGATGAGAAATAATTGTCACTTTTAAACAACAAAGGAATTAAAATTGCAGCGATGAGGATACCAGTTGAAAGTAGAAACCAATTTCTAAATGATAACCGAGTAGGAGAAATATCTTTTTCTAACTGTTTATCATCTTCCATTTAGATTTATATTTATATTAAAATGGAAAAAGAGTGAGTGTGAGAGAGTGAAATCGGCTCACATGGAAACCAAACAATTAAATCCGATAAAAATGATTGTACCAGAAAAAGAAAATGAGAGAAAAACAAAAACAACAAGAGTAGAACCCGAAAAGTAAATAACCGGTTCACTTGTACCCGGGTTGAGATTTTAGATCAATTTAGATAATTGTTGACAGAATCACTCAATCAGATGAGAGAGTGAGAGGAAATTAACATCAAGTCATAATCCAATAATAATACTAATTGATTGTGAGTCTTGATTAAATCATCGATTCGAAATGAGTGCGGATTAACTTGTTTACATTAACCGAGAAAAGAGCAACTTGAATAACCGCAGTTAACTAATCAACATGTGTACCGATTTTGATGATTCTGTTTTTCAATGATAAGGACAATTGTTCTTGAGAGAAACTGTTTCGCTAATTTTGAGCAATTAACTGATTATCGATCAGATCATTTCAATTTGGTACTCAAATTGTCTAAGGATAACTTTGGATATTTCTGATGATCTGAATGGCTCATGTTCAATGAAAAGCAGTTACTATTTTCAGAATTGATGAGATAATTTTTCTTGTCCGGAAGAGATTGAATTAACTTTAAAGGCTCGATTTCTTTCATGGATTAAATTAGTTTGGTTTGATAATTGAAAGTTTATGGTTGCCTAAAGGTGAAAACGCTGCCAAATCCGCGGGTGAGTTGAATAAATTTTGGGTAAACCAATTCATGAATGTAAACATTTTTTTATTTTATACAGTTCTTCTTGGGTTGTTTACTGTCCACCTTCGCCAGGCACATTTTTGATTATATCAGAGTCACCAGGGTCTGTTATACTAAGAGAACAGACTCTAAAGTATTTACCACAAGCGGTTCCCAATTCAATATTGTTACCAGAATAGTGATGTACACCGGCTTTCGCCAACATAGCATAGTATTCAATCAAACTTTTCCTCAATGATGGTGTGTTGTTTGCAATAATAACCAACTTGGCTTTTCCTGACCTCAAGGTTTTCAAAGTTTGCTTGTAACCCATGTAGTATTTTCCACTTTTCATTACAAGGGCTAACCTGGAGTTGATGCTCTCCATGGCTTTTTTGGATTTTTTATCAGCTGCAGACATGATTGATGCTGAGTGAGATTGAGAAACTACAAGAGAAAAATAAAAGATAAAAAAAGAAAACAAAATAAGTTAAACCAAAATCACACAAACGAAGACCATTGATCACAAATTAGATGATAAATTAAAAATCTTACCTTAAATTAATTAAATTATCAAAAAAAATTAACAAAACCAATTGACTAAAAGAGAGAACAGAAAAACTCAAATTCCAATTTTGTCTCGGAAACGGAACTGTGGCTGTTTTTCCCATCATAACTTCTCGTTGTCATGGAAACGAGAATTTTATTTGTGGCGCCAAATTTGACCGAAAATAATTTACTTTTCTTCTTCAAATTCTGTAGATAAAATTAAATAGATGGCGATGGTAACTGAATGTTATTTTCTCGATTTAACAAGAGATATTAACATTCTGTTCTGAACGCAGAATCTCATGTTATCCTGATGAAAAAGAGTGAGCAAAGTGTTTTCGATAAGGTTAAATTGTTCAGTCTCGAGACTATTATTAAGCCGATGATTATTGTCACAACAACATTAACTTATATTCTGATGATCATTTGATTATCATTTCTGTTTGGACTTAATCAATTTCACCTTTAACTTTGTATATCATTAACATGATAACAATTGAGTGTTAACTGAATAAAAGTGATCTCTTTATCCTGATCACTATTTATCTGTGAATACAATCATTAAACTGCCATTGGATTAACTATCAACCAATTAAAAGTAAACTTTATTAATAAAGATAAAGTTTTTCTTTTCCAATTGATTTTTTTCTTCTTCATATTATCAACTATAATTAACTACAATTAACTGTCTATGTTCATCTCTAATTGAAAGCATCTCAATAATGAGGAACGAGCAACATTTTCTTGTATTAGCAAAACAATCAGTAAATTGTTTCCACAACTATTTTCAATCAATTAACTATCGACCAAAATGAATAAAAACATTAAGGTAAGTGATTTATTTACTAATTTCCCTTTTTTTTAACCATTTACTTTGTGGTTTCCAATGACAATCAATTTCCAACATCAACATTAAGTCTAATTGTTTGATATAAGGAAAATTGATCAAGGTGATTGATCATTATAACCAAAAATTGATTGGACTAATTAAATTTCATCTCCAATTAAGTAACTTTATCTTAACCAGAAATTAGTTTGACCAAAACAAATCGATTGCTCTATTATCACCATGATGACGATGATGAATTTTGTTATAACTTTCCGAAACTAATCACAACTCAGCCTAGAATTGAATAACCATTGATTATCCGCCCTCAGGCTATATCAAACTTTCAACATTCTCGTCTATCAATTAGATTCATCATAATAATGATTTAGTTAATTGAATAAGAACCAATCTCATCAATATTATCATTCACCATTTTCTTACTCGTTCTTTAATCAATGTAAACATAAAATAACCAATCAATAAGTTGATTATCTTAATTGTGATTATTACTATTTAACTCTAATCTTGATGTTATTTTCATCATTTTGTTTTCCTCTAATCATTTACAGTCTTATCATCATCATAATCAACTTGAATTTCAACAATACAAATTACAGCAACATGATATGTTCAACAAAGACAATTATCATTACAATCTTAATGATAATTTACTCATTCACATCGGATCAAGTTAATTGTTTGTGCCCAGTGAAATGTACTTGTATTGATGAAAAGTTATCAGTTGATTGTAAGGAGGCATCGCTTGATATAATACCATTTACATTGAATCCAGGGATTCGTGAGCTATTCCTGTCATTTAATCAAATTAAAACAATCAAGGAATCGTTCACTTACTACACTAAATTGTCACTTCTCGATTTATCCTCCAACCAAATCTCATCTTTACACCGGAAACACTTTAATAGACAGAAAAATCTTCAATTGTTAATCTTATCATCAAATCGATTGTCACATTTAACTAATGAATCGTTCGAAGGCCTTGAATCATTAAGGCTTCTTAATTTAGCCGATAATCAGTTGACAATTTTGGCTCCTCGTGTTTTCACTGGATTAACACACTTGGAGAGACTTGATCTCTCTCGAAACACAATTAACCAAATCAACGACGAAGCATTTTATGGACTCAATGAGCTAAAATGGTTAAGCTTACGATCTAATAGATTATCAACAATCCCCTCGGTCTCTCTTTACTTGGTTCCAAGTTTAGCGACCCTTGACCTCGGTCACAATAGTTTAATTAACTTAACTGACCACGGGTTCGCCTCACTTGCTCGTCTAATTGATTTACGTCTTGATTCCTGTTCAATTGTTACAATTTCACCTTCATGGGCTCATGGTATGGTTAACTTGAAGAGATTACAACTAGATGGAAATAATTTACAATCAATTGAATCAAACATCTTTAATGATATAAACTCATTAGAGGAATTAATTATTGGTGCAAATAAATTTACTACAATTGATTCATTAACTTTCCACTCGCTGGGAAACAGCCTTATAACCCTTGATATAAGAAATGCAAGGGACTTAATTAACTTCCATCCAAAATCTTTATTAGGATTAATCAGATTGACACAATTGACAATCGAATATTGTCCTAAATTGACAACATTACCTAGTGAATTATTGAAAGAATCAAGTGATTCATTGAGGGAATTAAGACTTCGAGGTAATGGATTAACACATTTACCTTATTCACTATTAACAAGTTGGTCGTCGTTAACAGTATTCGATATCCGTGATAATCAATGGAATTGTAATTGTTCAATTCTCTGGCTTTGGAAGTATTTAAGGAAAACAATTAATCATAATAAGATTGATGGTAGAAACAATTTATCATCATCAACAACATCATTTAGTGATTTAATTTGCTCTTCACCTACAAACTTAAAAGGTAAACTATTGTCATCATTGTCAATTGATGAAATCGATTGTTATAATCCTCACTCAACAATTGGAACTCTAATTGTGGGCTCACTAATAATTGGCCTTATAATGATAATTACGATAACTTTATTGTTTCTTTGGTGTCGAACTCGTCTTCCTTTAATATTATTGAGACACAAAAAGTTCACCAACAATTTGACTGAAGAGTTTGTCTATGAGAAGGGTCGATTCATTGAGAGCCAAGTCATGTTCCCCCCATCATCTTCATCTTCATCTTCATCATCACCTTATCATCCTCACCTTCAACAGTATCAACATCACCATCATCATCAACAATCACATCAATCTCATCTCTCTCATCTTCGCCATCATCCTCATCATCTCCACGCCCAACAGCAACATTATCATTCAACATCATCACCTTATCATCATTCAAATCATCCATCTTCCAGTCTCATTATTATACAATCACCATCAAAAATGGGTCCCATAAGCCAAGTGTAAGACTAAGACAATGACAGTTATCATCCTCATCTTTTCATCATGAAAAAAACTGAATCTTTTTTTCATGCTAAAAAAGTTGTGTCGTTTTTGTACCTTCAAGATTTAGCAATGAATGAAAGTTAATTGCTTGTAAATCAGAGCAAATCAATGGCCAAATCATTTGCAAATCTAATTGTGTTAATAATCATTTTTGGTACAAATTAATTTTCTTATTTCAAGACCTGTAAAAGGAAAGATAATAAGTGGATGCGGATTAAAAGATTAAAAGGATTAAAGAATTGATTGTGATGATTTAATAGTAATCATCTTAATCTAAACTATGCAAAGAAATTGAAACCGGAAACAGTTACTGATATTTACTGAAAAATAACAAAAAATGTAAAGATAATATTTTATCTTAAATCAATAACTTATTGATTATAATCAATTGGCAGGGTATAAATACAAGTTACACAACTAATGGTGAAAGTAAAAGTTTATTAATTGTAAATAATTAACGATAATCAACAATTGATTGTATTTATTATCGTTCAAAGTAACATGATAAACAAGAACAGTAAAAACAAACCAACTTTTGTAATAAAAGCATCAATTAAATTACAATTAAAACTCCAAAGGAAAAAAACTCGACAACAAATCATTAAGTCCCATTAATCATTATAATTTGATAATAAATAATTCTGAGGTGAAAACTTGATAGAGAGAGAGAGAAAGAATCGTTAATATTTGATCATGATAACCATCAATATATCCACATGATTATCTATTGAATTAATGGTTATCGATGAAAAAGCAAAGATGTAAATGATAATCAGGATAAAAAGTAATAACCAACTGAATCAATGGAATAACATTTCCGGTTATCATGAGAATTTATCTCATTCGAATCCAGAACTTTTCCATGTTGATGATAATCTACCAATAGAGTGAAAAGGTAAGTCCAACAAATAATAATATTAGTAAATATCATCAACTGATCAAGGGAATTGCATTGTTGATAATAACAAGAATTTGCTTCGCCATGAGTTAAGCTTATATCTTTTCCCTGATGAAGCAACTTTTACCTTTTTACCTTAAGCCAAAACCATAATCACCTTTACCAAATATAATCTTCATCTTCATCTCCATCCTCCCATTTGATTGTATTAAACCAATTGATGATTAACCAGTGATGTTAATCTGATTATTATAATACATTGATCATCATATTTATTATTTAGTTTTTCCTATTGTATTATCTTTGGAGCTTATTATTATTTTTGTTCATGATCCACACGAAAGGAGATACAAAAACTAAATTAACAACAATTTCAAATCCATTTAATCAAATTAATCATTTCACCAGAAAATCAGGATTATCATCTGCAAAACCAAATGCCCAATGTTTCAAATCAACATCAATTCCCAAGGTAAAGTTTTCATAAGAAACCAAAGGAAAAGAGGGAAAAGTGAATAAAAGTAATTATAATTGAAATGAATTAACGATAACATGATAATAGTTTTATTCAAAAGTTGGAACTTATTTGGAAATAAAAAAACTCCCATCGTCTTTGTTATCATATATTTAATATTCCCAGAACTGATATTATCATGGCGATGATAACAATTGCTATTAAAGTGAATGCAAAATGAAAAGATATTTATTGTGATAGAAACGATTCTTGATGAGATACATAAAAATAATTCAGTTTCTCAGGTAAAAATAAAGATACAATAATATTATCAGGTAACAAGTCGAAAGTAATAACACTGAAAAGGAGTAATAATAAAAAAGGTAAAGTCACTTGAGGAGGAAATGGTTTCCTTTCTTATCATCATTTGTCTTCATTTCTCTTTCTTTTCTTTGCCCAATCTATTCCTCTTTCTCTTGGTATTATTTCAAACAATCATTTCTTACTCATTCTATTTCATGATCATCATCAGAATCATCAGAACTTTTTTCATCTTCATCTCTTATTCTCTCAGTCTTTATTTCAATTCTTTTGTAATCTATTATTACTTCTTTATGAGTTTTTCTTGTTACTCTTTTTTACTCCACCCAATTTCATCTTCATCTTTATCATCATCATCGTCATCAGATAAATACATTTAAGACTCTCTCATCATCATCATGATCATTGTGTTTTCCTCGTCTCATCATCAGTATTTATATGAACAAAAAAGGTTCAATATCAAACTCAGTTCTTGTAATAATATTATCATGGAATAAAAAAAGACAACATTTCCTTGAGTTAATTAAATAACAAGAATGAAATAATAATCATGATTACAATACGATCCTGAATCTTATTCAGAATTCCCTGAACATCACTAGTAACTGCTAATTTATGTTAATAATATTTATCAACACTTATAATCAACAATTATGATTAACAATCATCAAAACTTGAATCCAGAATCAGAATCCAGAATAAAAGTTAATCTAATATTTATAATACAGTTGGAATAATGGTAAATTAAATTCATGAATTACCATGAATTTCTCCATGTAATTCAAGTTCAGTTTAGATATAACAAAATCTACGCTAATATAACCAATTTTTAACTTTCATCTCATCTCCTCTCCTTTAATCATCTAATCATCTAATCGAGCTGTTAATTAACTTTTGATTGTTCCCAATGTTATTGTTTGTATATTGAACTTGGTGATGATTAACTTTCAACAAGTGATTTTGTTGATTAAATTTCAACAATCAAAATATAAACACTTAAAGTGGATTAATTAATCATCTGTGCTTGAATATAAATTCATATTGAAAGTAAACTGAAACTTTCATGATAAAACTTTTTGAGTAACATGATAAAACCCAAGGGTGAATGAAAAAGCAACTGAATCATTTTAATAATGATTACCTGACACAATTGAATGGGTTAACCTCAAATTGATGACAGAATCAAATTTGATTTGATAAATTAATTAACTTAAACCATAGACTTGGAATGAGAAATGATTGAGAGGCAGAAAATGAACTCTGAACCATTTCAGGGAAAATTGTTTTATATTGTATGAGTGAGATTGATGGAATCTGACAAGAATTTCAATTGAATTCATGTAATCATGGTAAAGGAACTTTTCATTTTCTATCTTACAACTTTTTCATTTAATTTACATTATCAGACTTTTTTCGCCATTCAGTTGATTCAGTTCATTTAAAATCATTTGCATTATCATGGTGATAATAATGATAATGTAAAAGTTGACATTTGTAATTGCTTATACTCTGGAATCGGCCTGAAATTCATCATGAAATTGACAAGATAAAAGCACAATGATGATACCACATCAGTTTCAATTCTCATAATAATAACTTGATGGTTACTCATTCACAGCATTTAAGTTAATCTGGTGAAAATCAGGGCTCAGGGAAGATATTCACCAGGAAGAAATTGAAGATTAGTATGGAAAGAGGAAAAAAAGTCAACTTTATCTTCATTTCATTTGCAACACTTTTTATCTTCCCAGTAAATGTATTTCTCTTCCTCCTCTTTGTCATCATTATTGTTTCATCTGCAATATTGCATTTCTTCATTTTCCTCATCATCTCTTAATCATTCTCCCTGACTCTTGAATCTCTCTCTTTTTTGCATCTCTAGTTCTCATCTTTCCTCCATTATCTTCCCTCTCACTCTTCCACCCTCTTTCTCGTCATCCTCATCTTCATTATGACTCTTTGTATTATTACCTCTCGAAAATGCTTAGTAAACCTCTTTTAATTTGTGTCTCTTTACATGATCGCTTAGCACTTTCTCTGTCTTATCCATTTTCACGGTTCCACCGCCTTCCACTTCCACCTCTCACTCTATCATCTCTCTGTCTTCATATTCTTCTTATTTCATTTCTCTCTCTCTCTCCTTCTCATTTTCCTCATCCTCCTCTTCCTTCTCAGTCAATCCCAGTTGCTGTTTCTTATCCTTATCAAAATGCTCTTTTATCCATTTCTTCAAACTCTCATTTCCTTTTCTTTCTTCTCTCCTTCATCATCATCATTACAATCAACATGATTCAATCTTCATAAGCTATACGATCATCGATACCAAAGCCGATTAGAAAGAGAGAGAGAGAGTGTCCCTCCCACTATCTGTTTACATCATGAGATAAACTGAGTCAATTTGATCCCAAATAAATTGACTTTAAAATGTTATGGATTTAAATTTTCGAGTAAACAACAGAATCATGTCAATCTTTTGAGTATTTCGGTACAAATAACATCATCATCATTTCAATTTTATCCATCTTATTTCATGTCACTCTCCACATCGCTCTCACTATCACTCATTCTCTCTCTCTCTCTCTTTCTCTACCTCCTCAATCACCATCCTCTTCCTTTTTCCCTCCTTCTCAATGCTAAAAAATAGAGTCTCAAACAGTCATACTACAAACAAAACATTTTACAAACAAGAAACTCGATAATAAATGAATCATTCCGAATGCTAAGTTATTATGATAACACACCCAAAATGAAACAGAATCAGTCTCATCATGGTGATATTATCATTTTGTCTTTTCCTTTTAACTCCCGTTGGGACACCCTATTTACTCATGGCTTGTATTCTAAGTGTCTTTTACAGGGTTTATCTAATAAATGAACATTTAAGCCAATAAAATGTCGCTCACAAAACAATCAATCATTTGATAGCATTTAACAACAATTCAACTTGTTACCATTATTTCAACTTAATCTTCATTTTCCCTTTAAATTGTTATGATTACAAATGTAATACTTAATCATCTTGACTCACAATCATCATTATGATAATTACAATGTTCACTAGCAAAACATGATTAAAGTGCCAACTTGCAATCATTTTATTACAATCAGATTGTTTTCTGTTATTCATTAATCTCGATAAAGATTAATGAATCGATTCATTGATATTCGATACACTAAAAAACGGAACAAAACAAGCCAATTATTGGTAATAAACACTTCATGTGACAGAATCAACACTATTCAATCATTAAGAACTAAGAGAATTTGGAACTTAAAATAATTCGACAAACTCGTAAAACTTGTTAGTCTTTTACCCAGTTGATTAAAACTTCATCTTGCAAGTTATAAAGTTAATTATTAGACACACATGATAAAACCAATCAATCAATCAACTTGAAATGAGTTAAAATGTAGCTGAGTTACTTTAGTTCTGAGACTGAACTTTTTACTTCATGATAAAATCAATAGACCCAAATGCTTTGTAATTTAGATGATATTGAAGGTAATCAGAATCAAGAATCAAGGTGCATGTTATAAAATGGAAAAAAAAAGTTTCAGTTGAATTCAATTCCAGGAAACATGAGGAAATGGCGAAGGAGTAGAAGAAAACCAGAGAAAGAGAGAGAGAGAGGGAGAGAGAGAGAGAGAATCACCGAAAAAAGGAAGATGAAAACAAGAAGAAAATTGGTTTTCATTTTGAACTTTTCTTCAATTTCTCCATCAGAATCTCTTGAATATATTAAGATGGTGAAAATTGTTGATAAAAAATTTCTTTAAGTGAAATATAATACTTCCAATACTTTGTCACCTTTTCACCATTAATTCATTGATTCATTTATTCATTCAAAAGATGATGATAGTTATGAAGATGAAAAAGCAAGAAGAGATAACAACATGACGAGAAGGATGAAAAAAGTTCCATCCACTGAAATAATATTATTACATAAATATATTTATTTATATCCAACTTTTCATGTTCAATTCAATTCTGAATGAAAAATGATCCACAAGGAAAGAGTGAGAACTCTGAAGAAGATATTATCACAATTTCATCTTCTCTCTCTTCTTTAGCTTCCTCCTTTTATGATGAGAGAGTTAAAATGAAGGTGAGAAAGAGAAGAAAAATTTCAATATAAAATCAGAAATATGACAGAATTTTAGAAACTCTGGTTAGGGATAAAGTCGCAAGGTGTTTATAAGTTTTTACTCTTCCCCTGGAAATTCAGTTTCA